TTCCCTCTTTGAAGTGGTTCTCGGTCCACCCATGGCTTGGGAACCACTGCTCAAGCACACGGGGCTTTCAGAAAGGAATGGGAAACAATGAAATCGCCTGATCAGTTATTCAGGTGCCGCTCTAATGGCATCACCCTCCACAAAAACTCCTACATACCAGGACGCAGCCAGAGATGAGAGAACTGGCCGAGCCAGGCTCCGGAGGCTGCGTAGCCTTTGGGAAGGCTGCATTCAAATGGGCGACTTCAAGAAGAGCAGACGCCTTCCCAAGAAGCTGCTGCCTCGTTTCCCACTGTCTGAGGAGGAACCTCAGCGTGTGCCTTTGCAAATACCCAGGGCGATGAGACCTGGGAAGTTCAAAGGAGCCAGAGCAGCTCTCAATGCTTCAAGCCCCAGCAGGCCAGGGGCGGCAGCTGCACCTGCGGGACCGCAGAGCTGCGGGGTGGATGCAGGCCCGGTCTCGAAAAGCCTCCAGTGTAGAGCTGGAGGGGCCGTATCCTAACCCTCACTCAGCCTCTGCTGCCCTGGGGAGATCCCAGCCCTATGGGAACGGGAACGGCTGCGGAGTGGGGCCAGCACAGTGGGAACCACGGGACCCGCAGCGCTGCTGCAGAGAGCCAGGATCCCCCGGCACAGGGCACAGCAGGCGGCACCGCGGCCGTGGTGGTTCCCCAAGGAGGGACCCATGGGACCTGATGCGGGGAGGGCTCCTTCCCCGTGCCCTCTCCCTGCTATGACCCTGCCCGACCCCTTCTCCCGCTGTTTATCAGCAGGTATTTGACTGGAGTTAACCGCAATCTAGGGGCAGCGTTAAACGCAGAGCCCTGTTCCGTCGCCCCATGTACATAAATTAGAGCTGTAATTCCACCCCGCGGTGTGGATGGCAATAGCAAACAGACGCTGCCAGCCCCATCGCACGCAGACGTTTGAGCTTTGAACCTTTGGTTTATGATTTCACCAGTACTGTCAGTGCAATGATATGCAAGCGCTATACAATGAAGGAGTGCTCACACTTGGACAAAAATGGCAGGCCTCAGCCCTGAGAAGTTTTCATTTTTAAACACAAATGCTCTTTGCCATCACACCGACAAAAGGCTCTGCCAGGCTGATGCACCCGTTCACTAGCAGCTCTGCTTCTTCCCAGGTGGGCACTGCCTCCCTTTCTCCTCTCTGCAGTACAGTTAACTTCCAGGGCTGGCGCATTTCACAATTTGACTACGAACTGCACAAAAGCAGTGAATAACAACAAACATCGCATGTACCAGCGGGGCTGCTCCGGCGATCTGCTTCCTCTCGCACAGTCTGTCAGTGCCCTGTAGTGGAGAAATGGGTTAATTGCAAATGCCACATGGAGCCACTGCCAAGCTGCTGGGCTGTGCTCCTGCAAACTTGGGTCAGGCCCCGGCAGCCGGTGGAGAGGCTCCAGCACCGCGGCTGCGTGGAGATTTCGGCTGGCTGCTGCCTCGGTGGGACAGCGCTCTGCTCCCCGTCACCTCTGCCTGTCCCTGCCCGGCCCCAAAACAGCCCCTGGGCACACGGGCAAGATTCCTTCCTCTGCCCCAGTTACTGACAGCCTCGTCTCTTCCCTCTGAGCAAGTGACTCCTATTACAGGGAGGTGGAGATGCATGCGAAAACACTTCAGCTGGGCCCGGGGAGCAAGTGCCTGCTCTTCGCAGGCTGGCGTGGCTTTGGAAGGCTCTGGCCCCAAGCGGTAAAGCACTTCGGTGTCCAGACTTGCAACCCTCCACAAAGGGCATGCTCCCACAAAGGTCAAAACTTCTGCTGAAGGTGAGAGGTGAGGCCCCAGAGGAGCTGGCCGGGAACGCCCTGCACGTCTTGGGCACAAAGTGCTGCAGGAAGGTGTTCTACTGCCAAATGGCATAATCCACAAAAAGGAAACAGAAAGCAAAGCTTCCCTCCCGCTCCCCATCCCCACCACGGCAGGGGTCTTTCACAGCTCCTTTCCCACCTCTCTGTGTTCAGCCACCCTGAAAGTCAGCACGGAGAGCTCTGAGTGCCAGGCGCGGAGCCCCACTGCCCTCCGGACCCCCCTTGCCTGCTGCAGGCTCCTCTGCAGCCCCCAGGTTTCAGGCATGGCTTGGAGGAAAACAGGCATGGAAGAGAGAGTCCTGATTTCACAGGGAGGGTTTGTAAAACACTTCTGAATGCCAGCTCTGGCCAAGAACCATTCCTGCCCCGGAGGGCTCTGCAGGGCTCCGAGCAGGTCTCTGATCAGAGCAGGGCTCTCCCTCTTCCAGAAGGGAGCTCAGCCAGGCAGAGGATGCCAGGCCTTCATCCCCCTGCAGCTGCTGCAGGCAGCACCAGACAGAAATCCAGAAAGGAAGGATAATTGAGCATCAAATTTGTATGTATAATGCTCTCCAGGAGGAAAGAGTTGTTAAGGATCACACCGTAGTGGAGGTTTTGTTGCATCAGAGTGAAAATGGGTGGGTGTGGAGTTTTTGCAATTATATAATCTCTGGCGGTTTTGGCATCCCTGCTTTGGGTGAGGACGCAGCAGCCCCGGCCCGTCTGCGGCCCGCCCTGCGCTATCAGCAAATGGCACATGGTCCGACTGCGTGGGGGTTGTGGCGAGAACAAAGGAAAGCAGATTTCCTGGGAGTCTGTTTTTGTTTTCCCAAGCAGAAGAGTGACTCAGATTTCAGCTCGCGCTCCTGTAACTCGGCCAACAACAACACGCTGTTAGTCGAAGTGATAAAGGCGAGTATCTTTGTGCTGTTTGCTGAACTCATAAAAGCTCTCACGAACTTGTCCACCCCAGGGTCGACTCAGTGACCTGTTCAGAGACCAGGCGTGGAGCCCCCAGCCCCTCGCAGGGACGGTGTCTCCCTGAGCAGCCTCGCAGCTCTCCAGCAAACTGCCCAGCACGTATCCTGCTGGTAAAACACTGCAGGTGATCCCAGCTTGTGCGCTGTCTTAGCTGAGAGCTTTGTGATGAATAGCGGTGAGCACCTCCATGTCATCCTAACGCAGCTGCTAAAAGTGCCACCGAAATGCTTTCGCTTTCTGGGAAATATTCCAGGAAAAAAAGCACCCTGCTTCCTGGTGCTTAAAAAGTGGCTTGACACATCCCTGCTCTTTTGTCCTCTGTATCCGAGCTTGTTTTTCATGGCTGTGAGGTGCCTTCCCAACCCCTTGGAGAGCCCACAGCGTGCATTTCTCACCACAGCCACAGTCTAGCAAAGACTACAGCTTTCAGGGGCTGTCCCCAGAGCTGTCAGCAAGGTGCTAGAGCTCCTTTGGGGGGATCAGCCTGAAGCAAGCACCGCCTGCACAAACTGTGCTGCACTGGTGCAAAACGGGGCTCGCCAAAGGATTTGCTGCGGAATTGCTACACACAGCTGTGGGTAAGCCCTTGTGCAACGGCTGTGCTTTCTCTGGAAAAGGAGCAGCTCCAAAACACGTGTTAGAACACCTTGAACAAGTCAGACACAGCTAGAGGTGCTAACAGGGCAGAGCAGACCTCAGCAGAGGCAGATGTTGAGACTGGAGACACTTTGCATTGACATTTTAACGTGTTGGTTCACGCACGTTAGCAGCGTGCTATAAATACGCCTGGTCCGTTCCCACTGCTGCAGCCGGGGTACCGTGGGGGTGCCACATGCCACCACGTTGCAGGACAAGGCTCACGGCCACACCGATGGACTCACCAAGTCACTGCCCCTCGGCTGCTCCCCCAGCCCCATCACGCCCAAGCTCCCCAAGGCCGGCACCCCGCCAGCCTCCGGCAGGCTCTGAGCTTGACACCACTTGACCGAGCTGGTGAGGAAACCTGCACAGGCTCTTTGCTCTGGAGTGAACCGAGTTTCCTTCCATGCAGTCATCCGGCAGCAGGATTTTTGCCTGTCTCTCTCCGCTCCACGCACGCAGAACATTTCTGCTGTTGCACATCAGGGACCTGGCCTCTAGTAATTAGCTTGCCAATTAATATCAGGTAATTAACACATTCATAAGGGCTGGTGGAATCCCACCCTGACATTTTCCGAGCTATGCATGTTTGGGGAGCGTCTTCATCAGCCTTTTGAAGTTCTTCGCTGTGAATTCACCGGCAATCAATTAAGCCTGCACTAAAAACTGGTGCTGTGCCATTAGAGCAAACATGCCCCAAGAAGCAAACATATTAAGGATTAATTAAATACCAGGTTTTATTTAATTAAGCCTCTTCTCATAAGTATGTAAAGGCAGGAATCTGGAGCGAGCACCTGATCTTGCGTTCTCGTCTATCCCATTTGTAGAAGTGCATTTAAACTTGATTTGGGCTGTTTGAAACACGCAGACCTGCTGGGAGCATGGGGACACAGCACCAGCCCCATAAACCAGCAGGGACCCACGGGCACTTGTCCTCCAGTTTAAAGGTCCCACGATAGAGCTGGGAAACACCAAGACAAGCTCAGGAGGTGAAGTCCAAGGCCATTTTCCATGCTGCTGCGGACAGGAGGCACCGCCGTGCCTTCTCCTCCTCAGCCCGGAGCTGGGAGGAGGTTACAGAAGGAGCACGCTCTGCGAGACCTCAGCCTGCCTCCAACTCTTACACTGAAAAATTCCTTGTCAGCAGCTTAGAGAGCACAGGAATAGCTTAGTGCAGATTAAGTGGAATTACTGTTCATTAAGAGCACCGGTGAGCATTTACTGACACACAAGCAGTGACTACAGGAGCTTGTTCCAGACTGAAAATTGTTCCAGGGCCATTTTGCCGTGGTTTTTCCTAGCAGCTTTCTGGCCAGGAGCAGCAGGCGGCTGCAGCCACGTGGCACCAAGGTGGAACTGGGACATGCGGGCTGCAGCTCCAAAGGTGGCACAAAGCTGCAGCCTCGGTAGTCCTGAAAACAAGGGTAAAAGCCCCAGGGTACCCCCAGGCCCCGATGGTTTGGGTGCAGCACCGCCAGCCCCGTCCCTTCGGGAGCAGCCGCTCGGATCCCGACAGCGCGGCTCCATCAGGGACCCCCCGGCCGCTGTCTGAGCAGGGACTGCACAGCCGGAAAGAACAACCAGGGTTTTATTGATCTGAAAATACATCAACCATAGAGAATAGAGCTTTAATTTTTTCTTTCTGAACAACGATAAAGAACGGTTTACATTAAAAAAAAAAAAAAGCATGAATAAAATAATAAAAAACATACCACAGTGTGGAGTTCAAATCTAAGAACAGTAGCAGCACTTCTACAAATAGAGTAAAAGCTATAGTGCTCGTTCACCTCAGGCTGAGCAACTCCCAGAGACCAAAATGGCATCCAACATAGAAAAGCAGCAATTCAGTGTAGGGCAACAGAAAAGTCTAACACCAGAACATCGAATACATTCAGCACCCCGCTGTTGAGAGGCAAATCCTCGTCCCCCAGAGCTCGGTTCATTACCTGGCGCTGCCACCACAGCTGCAGCAGGTGACAGCCCAACAGCACCCGTGCACCCTGCCCAGCTCTCCGGAACACATTTTAGCACGAGGGAAGCAACAATCGTGGGTCTAAGGTTACATCTGAGATGGATTTTCAACAGTTTTTACTTAATTCTGTTTCTGAAATACAGCTTTCTCCTTCCCTGGTGCCTGGAAAGTCTCTAAGAGGAGACTGAATTTCTGAGAATTTAAGTAGATTTGCTTATGCGTTCACAAAAATGACATTTTTAGTATCTCAGTATCCAGTGTCAGGATTTTTATTTCTTTACCTTCCCTAGCAGCGAAGCCACACCGATTCGTAAAATTCCAGGGACTTTTAGAGATCTTGTGCATAGTTCAAACTTTAGCATTGATTTATGAAAAACAAACAAATAAAAACCCACCCTGATAAGTGGAGCTTTTTACCCAGGAGTTTCTCTGTTGAGCATTTTCCCATTCCTACAAAGAAGCTGATGGGAAGCAGCCCCCATCCGACCCCTCCCACTGCAGTGGCCATCCACAGCCAGCCCTGTGCAGGGAGCGGGTGTGGGGGTCTCTGATGAGGGGGAGCTGCAGAGCCCCCTGGGGCCTGCTTGGGGTCTGGCTCCATGTGGCATCACCCACAGCTCCACCACCGTGCTCCCTGCTCGGCCTCCGTGTGCAAGATCAGTTTTTAAGAGGAAGTTGCTCAACTACTGAGCCAGAATTTAAGGTTGAATATGCTTATTGGTAAACTAAACCTGCAGGATATGGAAAGAAGGATATGGCTATTCCACCGGCAGACATTCTCCAGGAAATTCAAGATTCAAAGTTCAGAAGAAATCCAAGCACTCCAAGCTGTAGGAAAGCGTGGCTACGGCACCAAAACGATCGTGGCGTTGGCCCATGGCCACCATAAGCATAAATGAGGTGAGTGCAGCTCACCAAGACCTCAGGTGCCTTAATCAGCAATGTGTGTTTACTTCATGGCAGGCCATGAGGATAATGACCTTGAGTGAAGATCATTTGAGTGCCTGAAGCAGCACGCAACAGTAAGTGGCATTTTATCTACTTCAGGGTGTCCGAAAATGCTTATAAGGAATCTGAAAAGTGGTTTTGGTGAGTTACGGCATGGCCCTACTGCTGGAAATTGTCACTTCATCTGTAAATTGTGCTCTTTCACTTCCAATTTGTGCTCACGCAATACTAAAATGCAGAAAATGTGCCCAGAAGTGAAAAGTCCCAAATGGAGTTGACAAGTGTTTGACGAAATGACAATCACCGTGGTCCCACTGAGGAACGGGCTCAGAGGCCACCACGAGCCAGCAGTGCCCCGGTACAGAGCGGCTGTTTAGAATAGTGGAAGGTGTTTTTTAAAGTAAGCTTACACAATGAGAATCCTAGAACTGGTCCCGTATCTGTTTTGAGGACTGTGTGCCACAGCAACTCCCAGTGCAGAGACTTAGCCAACTACTCAAAAGAAACGGGGGAAGAAAGGCAAACTACCCATCCAGATTTTTAAAAACAAATAAACGTAATAAGGAAGAAAGAGTAAGAAGAACCTCATCCCATACATTTGTTCCTGGCCACAAGCCTGCCGCAAGGCTTGTGTCTGTCTCCAAGGGGGGATTTAGGCACGGGCTCACAGCTTGCCCAGAGCAGAACTACGATTCCAAGCGACCACATTACGAGCAGTCACTCCTCGTGATATGTTTTTTATTTATCAGTGAGAAGCGTTGCTGATACCTGCACGTGTGTTGCTGGCTCTGGTTACAACACGAGCTGTGTCTGGCTGTGTTCAGGGATGTTCAGAAAGGGGCTGGATGAGAGCAGCACAGGGTGGCAGCAGGAAGGTCCCAGGCAAAAACCCCTCTCCAGTCTTCATGAAAAGTGTCAGTACCTAAGCAATCCGGAGAGCCAACACAAGTAAGAAAAACTCCTATAAAAGTCACACATTTAGGAACAAAGACAACTCGTAAGGTGTTCACATTAGCAACACTGAAAGAGATGGGTACCGGGAGTTATTTGGCAGCTTGCACCAGCAGAAAGCTCAAACGCAGCAAGGATCCATCAGTGACTCCCTCGGGGAAAAGCAGGGCTGGGATTCAAACCCTGCCAGCGTTTAAACACACCGAGACGATCTGGGAGGATCTGAGAGCTGAGCAGCTCCAGCACAGGGGTGTGAAGGAGCAGGGAGATGCCAGCGGTGCGGAGCCAGGCAGCTCGGGCCCTGGTCCCGCAGAGCTCACAAGGGGTGAATCGCAGCTGCAGGGCTGCGAGGATGAAGCATTCCCTCTCCCGGAGCCGGACAAGATTACTCTATATGGGCAGGCTTCTCCCCCAGCACGAGCAGGAAACCTCTGGCTGCACAGCCGCGCTGCACGGGCAGAGCGAGGCTTTATCTTCATCTCGTGGCACCGAGCGGAGGGGCAGGGTGGCAGAGGCTGAGTCCTGTGACCAGGTGGACAGCAAGAACCTTTCCTTAGACTTTGGTCACTTTTAACCTTGGAACAGACCTCGAGGCCCAGACTCCTGGTGCTCAGGCCCTTCAGTGCACACCTCCACAAAAAAGCAAAGCTCCTGGTGGGACAGCCTCCTGCCAGGGGGGTCACCAAGGGCAGAGCTGCTGTGGGGAGAAGCTGTGAGTCCTGACACTCAAAACTGAGCCCAGAAGGTCAGCCCTGGCTGCAGGAGAGCCGGGCACAGAATATAATCCTAAACTGACCCAGGGCCAGCACAAAACCCCGCACAGCTTGGGCAGGGCTCTGCCCACGTGGACCCCACTCAGCGCTGTGCGGGAACAAAGCTTCCCCCTCCACACTCCTTTTTTCCTTCTTTTCCACAGTTTTAAAGTCAGAACTAAAATCAAGCCGAGCTGAGGTCACGACGGTTCTGCTCTGAGCCTCCTGCTGCCGTGCAGCACACGTGGCCCAGCACGGGGCAGGGACAGATTGGCACATCATGGAACGGGTGCTAGAGAAACCACGCGGTCCTTGAAGCAATAGATTTCTTCTCCCCCCCTCAAAAAATAACCCGCTTAATTCACATATTTCTCTCTATACTGTATATATATATACTATATATAGACACAATTTTCTGGTAAACATTTACAAGATATGTTTGCAACATTGAAAAGAGATATCTCCGTTTGCATAACAACGCACACTCATGTACTCCAGTATACAAGGACACACAGTAATGTACAATCAATAAATAAATACTTTTTTCCCCCCAGAAGTTATTCAAAAAACACTGCTATTGAGCGGCCCAAAGACACTCTCAGTTAATACAGACAGCAAATATTGTGCAGATTTTCTTGGCTGCTTTTGTTTAAAAACCAAGAAAAGAAAAACAGAAGCTTAAAAGATAAAAGTGTCAGCGATGTTGCTTGTTAGGACTGTGTTTTAGCTCACCCATTGGTGCTCGTCCCTCTGAGAGGGAAGGGCAGAGCACTTTCCCTTCCCCTTTGGAAGAGGTTACGCAGGCAGATGTTTGCCTGCCCCAAGACCTAGACAGAGCAGGAACAGGCTGGCAGGGAGGGCACGAGCTGCCCACTTTACGGAAAAAGGAGAGAATCACACGGAAACGTGCAGATTCACAGCTCAAATGCTTTTGTTTCCTGTGCTACCGCAGACTGCAGACCAAGCACTCTTTGGAGGTTTCATGTAGAAAACTTCAAATCATTTCCTACCTAGACTGCTGGTAACACCTTTTGCCTGTTGGCCTTGTAAGAAATGAAAGGCTCCCCATCACTCACCCCCTGCTGCAGTCCCGTTCCCTGCAGATGTTGGGATGCACCGTTCCCTACTTTGATAGCTGGGAGCCCCGCGTCCCAGCGCTGCAGAAGGAGTAGCTGACTTACTCACACTGCTTCACCGCACACTGCAGAACTTCTGAAGCAAGTTTTCTCTTCTGCAGCTTTGTTTCTTTTCTGTTCAAGCAACATCTAACACGCCACAAGTAAATACAGAGTACAGCAGCACGGACAGGCGTCCCACGGAAGGGAAGGGAAGGGCAGGGAAGGGCCCCTCTGCCCTGCTGGCGAGCAGCGCTCCATCGGCGAGAGGAGAGCAGGCCCTTATCCTGCAGAGGGGAGGAGGACAGCACGCACACATCACACATTGCATGGAGGGGGAACACAGATTTTTGCAGCAAAACTTGAGAGAAAGTACCCTTAAAGAGAGCCACAGACCAGCATCTTCCCCGCTGCTGAAAGCACACCTTCAGGGCAGCTTTCTGTGGCCATGGCGAATCTCCCTCTGGCTGAACTGGGCCTGCCACTAACCCACACTTCTCCTTTTCCTTTTATTTTTAATTACCTGAGTTGAAAAATGAATCCAAACCCTCCCTAACACAGCCACAGCACGGCACAGCAGCTCAGCTCTCACGCTGGTAGTGCTGGAGAGGCACTTCATGCAGCGTGCTCCAGGGGTGCAATGCTGGAGAGCCGCTGCAGGAAAGGTGGCCACAGAAGTGCATCTTCCGAAAGCAAAGACCACTCAGGGACCTTGGCCTATTTGGTCCTTCGCAGGTAAAAGCAGCCCACCAGGACCTAACAGGAGACTTTCAGTGGACTTAGAGGGCTTTGCAACCAGCCCCGTAAGCACACAGAAAACCTGCAGGCACCAAGGGATTGTTTGCACTGTTTGGATGTAAGCAGCTGGTCTTTTGATTACCAGAGGAAGAGACAGGCACCTTCAGAGGGAAAAGTCAGGACAGTCACATAAGTCAGGAGCTCTGACTTGCCTTCCAAGGTGCTCTCCCCTAACACGGGTTGCAGAAGAACGATCAGGAGACCAGACTGCTAACACAAGCAGCTAGAGTAAGGCAGGTACAAAAACCTCAAGACTAGAGCTCCCAGATGAGGCTAGGACCAGATTTTTCAGTGTTCAGAGTGTGTTACAGAGGCTGGATTTTGAAAGAGAAACCCAATGCTGACCTTGGAGCTCTTCCGAAAATCCATTCCCAAACAAAACTCTTGTGTGCTCAGATACTGTAGTAACAAACAATGTAAAAATCCCAAGGAGAGAACGGAGCCCTAAAAACACTAAAGGAAATGCTATGCATCGAGGGACAAGACCAAAAGAAGAGTAGTTTCTGTGATCCAAGTCCCTCTGTTACTGGCAGAGCCTCATAACACATGTAAGAAACCAAGTACTGGCAGCATCCCTGCCCTGCCTGGGCCTGCAGGGCTGCCCAGCTTCCCCCTGCCATGGTAAGGGCTGCCGAAGGAAGCAGCTCGATTTCCTGCCAACAAAGGGAGCCCCCCAGGGGGCTGGCAGCCCAGCTCTCCCAGCCCCCCAGCTCCGACCTGGGATGCTGCTGGCAGCTGCCTCTGCAGCCGTGGTGGTAACCCACGTGCCGCACCTCCGCTGCAGCCAGGCAAGGAAGCCACTGCCCGGTCCTGCTTCCAAAGAAGTCTTTAGCAATAAAATGTGATTGTACAGATCTTTGGTTAAGTCACTGGAGAATGCTGCGAAGATCTGAGCCAGGGCCCCCAGACCTACCACTGCACACAGCACTGGGAGAGCTGGGGCTACCTGCGGCTTACACAGCAGCCTGTGTCCAACTGCCTTCCTTCCACAGGCGCAGCACGGCACGAAAAAGGAGAGGGAGAGGAAGCATTGAAGAGGAGTCCTGGCTCTTTGTCTGGATGCCTCGTCTTCTCCACGTCCTTCACTTGTTCTCGATCAAAGTCTGGACTTTGTACACCAGGTCCCGAGCCAGCTTCAGGATCTGCTTGGTGTTGTGCCGCTCGGCCATTTCTGGAACACAGACAGAAGGAGCCCACAGAGAGGCGATACCTGAGCAGCCCAGCATCTCGAGGAGCCCCCCCAGGCCTCACCGCTCTCTGCTTCACAGCCAAGCTTCAGGCAGCAGCTGGAGCTGTGAACTCACATCCGAATCCCTAAGCACCAGCCCTTGCAGACACCTGCCTCTGAAGGGCCATCATTAAGGAGCTTATCTCAGCACGATTACAACCTGCAGGAAGCACCACCTACACTCACAGCTCCCCTCAAGCAGAGATAAGGCAGGCTGTGACCAAGGATGGTCCCCCAGGCATCGTCTGAACCCTTCAGAGGCAGGAGATCTCTTTAACATCACGTTCCAAGCCCCAGCATAGCACAACCATGCTGCTCTGTTCAACATTTACCAGTGTGTTCGAGACGTGACTGCCTACAGCCAGACACGCTGCCTGCACCTGAGCAGTGCCACAAATTCAGCCCAACAGAACACAAGCCGTACCATTGAAAAATTTGATGATGTCTGTAAAATCCATGTTGTTCTCCAAGATTATGTCCCGGTACATTTCCACCAAAGCCAGGGCTATGAAGAGCACGTAGTGTGTGGAGGAAACGTGTGCAGCTGCCCAGATGGTCTCCCAGACGGCGAACACATCATCGTACACCAGCTCTGTTAAGGGAGGAAAGAAAAGCAGCAGTCACTGCACCAGCCTCTGCTTACAACCACCCTGACTCACAGCATCCACGGCAGCGCTGGGGAAAACACGCTGGTGGTTTCTTCCCACAAGAACCTGTTCCAAGGAATAAGTCAGCCATCTACAGAGACAAATATTCTGGCCTGCAGCAGGTGGTACAGACTTCAGGACATAAAGCTGCTGGAAGCTCACCAGCAGCTCTGGAGCAACAGGTTCTGGAACTAGACAGAAAAGTCAGCCACAAACCTACCAGGGAAAAGCAAAACAGGAGCACACAGCAAAAAAATGAAGTTAAACAACTGAAGTTGCAGAGCATACTGAGAAGCATGGAAGCGTGGCAGACCCTGACTTCACCCCCCTTTGTTGGTCTCATCTTCCTCCCTCCCTGCACACACCTCTCTTGAAGTCGAGGAGAAACCATCGGTAGCAGAAGTAGAAATGAGTGTAATCACCATTCTGGTGCATCAGCTCAAAGAGCTCGGAGTCCAGAATCTGCCAAGAAAAGCAAAAAGAAACTCATCAGTGCACACCCGAGGCACCAACCACTCCTCAGTCTGCTTCCTTCCCACTGCTCACCTCCCGCACCATCATTCACCCAGCTTCACCCTGCCTTGCAGCCCTGCCACACGTTACTCCCAGGCTCTCTTTACAGCCCCCCTGCCACAAAAAGCTCCTCTCAGCCCACCCCACGGAGCCCCCATCCCAAGAACAGCTCCCCTTCACTGCCCTGAGAGGCTGCTGCCCCTGTGCTGGCGCCCTACCTGGATCAGGGACCTCATGTTAGCGAAGTGGGTGTCCATGGCTCCCCCGTGGGGGAAATTCTGATTCATCCTTTTCATCAGCTCCGTGAAACAGCTGAAAGCCAGAGCCTCTGCAAGGGGAACACAGAAAGTCGTGCTCTGCTGCACGGGCACCGCAGCATCTGCACCCAACGTGACCATGCCAGCAACACACACACACACACAGCAGCCCTCCCCACTGCACGCACACAGAACCAGGGGTGCACGGCAGGGACGGGCCTTGGAAGCACCCCAAGGCTCCCCCCATTGGGTGTGGGACCCCGCAGATCCCCCCCATGCACTCCCACTACTACAGCACTGGAGAGAGGGGCAGAGCCACCCACTCACCATCATCCAGGATGACCAGGAGAGGGGCCAGCAGGTCACACATCCCCTGCACGTAGCCAATCTCAATGTGCTGCCAGATGTAGCTGTGAAGGAGGGCAGGAAAGCCATGAGCCCCCTCCCCATGGCCAGGACTAAGCCCCTACCCCATGCCACAGCCCCCTGGCACGTGCCCTGCCTTCACCCCTGTGATGCTGGCGTGCCCTACAAGCTGCCCTCAGCGCACAGCCGGGGCCATCGGGGCACTTCAGACCTCTTTATTCCATCACGCCCGTGCCCCGTTGCTCCACAGCTGGCCTGTAAATGATTAAGTCCCAGCGCTGACTTCCAGGTAAGCCACGCACGGCACAGCCCGAGATTAACGCCGTGCAAGGTCTGCTGCCTGGAGATCTGAGCAGGGAAAAAGGAAATCAGAGAGCACAGCAAGGTGCAGGAGGTTGGGCAAAGGGCAGGGACCGATGGAGTTTGTTCCTTTGCCTCTCTCATTCTCACCCTTCCCCTTGATTCATCCCCTGCACGGCGCTGCCTGCTTCGCCTCCCTGCACCCAGCGTCCCAGGAAGCGATCGGCCCTGCACAGATCTTCCCATATTTGGTAGCAAGTCAAAAGTGTTCAGAAAGGGCTCCAACCCGCTGCTGGCACAAGGAAGCGATCCTTTCCATCCTGCCCGCTAGTTTTCCAAATTCTGCTGCATCGTAGGTCTCGTCTCAGCAGAGATCTCCAACTGCGGCTGCCAGATAAAGTGACAGCTCTAACGAGATCGCAGCTTCTCCTCATATTTGCAAGATGAGTAATGGTGTTTTAGCCTCCACTGCCCCTGCAGCAGCCACAGCTGCTGAGCTGGAGCTGGTCGGGGTCAGTGAATGTCACACAGCAACCTCTTAGTCACAGGGCAAGCAAGGAGAATCTGAAAGGCACCCAGGTACTCCTGTCCCCGGGCTCCTGTGTAGGCACTAACCACTGGGTTGTTTCAGTATTGCTCATGAGTACCAGACCTCGTTAAACACTTTTCCAGGCACGTTCCAAGAGCAGCTGGGCTCCACTGTGCTCACACCCGGGCAGCCCCAGGGAGCCCTCTGCCTCGGCCCAGCCCTGGCACGCAGCAGGCACAGGGTAAAGCAGCACGGGGCAGGGCTGGTGGGCTCCTCCTCAGCCAGACCCCGCTTCTGTGCAAAGAGATTTGGAGGAGGAAGCCAAGGAGGCAAACCCAGCAGCCAGAACAAGCTTTGAGGCTCCGGTGTAATGACAAATTCAGGGGAGCCCTGCCAGGAGCCTGCCCCAGCACCCTGCAGGAGGGCCCCGCGGCTCCCACCTGCACATGATGTTGCGCAGCTTCTCCAGGTTGGCGGGGGTGAAGTACCAGTAGTTGCGGTCGCACCGCTGCACGTCCTTCTCAATGCGGTGCAGGTTCACCGTGTACATGTCCAGTAGCTCCGGCTGCCCAAAATGAAAGCAAAGTTGATTTGTTTTCAAATAAAAAAATTAAAAAAAAATGCAAGGGCAAAGGAGCAACAGAGCAGAGTTTGGGTTGACAGAGTTGCAGGATTAGCACAGGGCAAACACAGGGAAGTGGTGAGAGACTCCCAAAAAACCCACTCAGGGAAGAAATGAAGACTTACAGAGTAGGTGACACCCGTCGAGGAGACAGGAGATGCTTCGCTGTTGGCCAGATCCGTCACAGCCAGGGAATCCAGCTGCGGGTACAAGCTCTCCATCTCTGGCTCCTCAGAGAGGTTGTCCTCACTCTCCACCAAGCTTTGCTTTTCGGCCTCACTGTCTGCCCAGCTCTCTACCACAGTCAGGGCCACGGCATCACGCCCACGCAGGACCCCTGCTGAGCTCTCCCCCACAGGAACGAAGTCCAGGCTTCCACCGCTGGGAAATTCACCCTCCAAGCTGTCCTGACCCTGCAGCTTTTCCTCCTGCGCAGCCCCATCCAGGTCCTGCGGGGCCGTGGTGTCGGACCCACCAGCCTTCCCCTGCGAGCTGGCTGAGGACTTGTTGGTTTCCAGGGCGCTGTCCTCGTTGCTGAAGCTGCGTTCCGAGAATCCCGACGCAATGGAGAAGTTCTGGGAAGAGGGATGGCCAGAATCAGGCGAACACGTGCCGTTGGGAACGTTCCCGTTGGGGATCTTGCTTTGTTTTCCATCTTCCAGCTGAGCATCTGCTTCGGTCTGTTCCACCTCGTCCACCGACTCGAACACCTGCGCAGGGCAAGCAGAGCCCCGTCAGAGCGAGCAAGCCCTCTGCACCTGACAGCTCTTGGGGATGTAACACCCATGTTCCCAACGGCAGGGAGGGAGGAAGATCTGCTCTAAAGAGGTCATTCCCCTAGATGCTTGCTCCAAATGCATCGACAATGCTGCCAAGTACGCAGCGAGCTGCTCTTACTGCTCATTAGTGCTCCAGCCCCATCGTGGGAAGCCAGCAAGCACCCGAGAGCCCACAAGCCCCACAGCGAGGCACCTTGCTCCCCAAGCAAGGTGTGGTGCAGACCACAGCAGACCACATTCACGGTCTGTGCAGGGCTCGTGTAAGCAACCAGTGCAGAAAGGCTCAGAGGACCCGAAGGCATGGTCACTGGCTAATGCTCCAAAATGCACAGTCCATGCTCCAAAGGACTACGCTTTACTCAGCACAATACACTGGGCAGGATGCCATTTGAAGGGGTTGATTAAGCACGTGGTTACTACCATATGGAGCAGCCAAAGGCCCTCATGTGTGAAGGCCACGTGTGGGTTGATCCTTCGAGCCCGGGCAGAGCGGGCAGCAGTGCCCAGCCCTGACCTTAGTGACTCCAGAGACAGGTTTGTGAGTCATGTACTTCCTCCAACTACAGCTCTGTTTGACAGAAGCCAATTCTGGCAAGCAAGCAGCCCAAGGCAGGGGAGAGAGCCTCGTGCAGTAGGGCAGCCAGTGTGAACAGGCAGGAGGGGACAAAGCGCTGCCGCTCACCTGCGTGCTGGAGCTGGAGTCGCTCTGCAGCCGGGCGTGATTCTGTCGGCCGGAGCTGCAGCTCTGCGAGGACTGCAAGAGAGAGAAAAGGCCACTGAAAAGGCAAAGAGCACGGTGTTTGCAGCGGGGGCACGCTCAGAGGTGGGCACATCTGTATATGAAGTGGAAAATGCATCCAATAAATTCTCCTATTTGACCCGCGAAACACAGTCACGTCACATCAGCTCTGCTGTGCTGGTTTGTCACTCAGAGCAGCACCCTCCCTCAGCCTGCCGCTGACATTTACCACTGGAGATGATAAACAAACAAAGTCCCGGGCCAATTCAGTTGTTCAAACACTGTTTGTTTGGGTATGAAATGAGCTGCTTTCTTGTAGCCTTCAGAGAGGTCACGCTGTCTCCCCAGAGTGCAAATTTCTACTAATTTCAGTCCTAATTTGGCAGCAAAGCGACTCACCCCATCTTAGTTTACATAAACGATGAAGTCACAGGCTATAAAACAATCCCTCTAAGCATATTAATGTTTTTTTCCTTTTCTTAAAGGACAAACACTGATGCTTTAAGCCAGGCTGTGTCAAGGCAGCCCCTCTAAAAGCCAGCAGCACCATACAGCTGAGGCACAGAAGGGGCTTTGCAGCAGCCAGTTCGGTGCCGTGCCTCGGGGGTTCCCTCTGAGCAGCGAGCCAGCATATCAGAGCGAGTCCTCCCTGCTATCTGAGCCACCCCTGCGCAGGGCTTATCACGGCACGAGAGCCTGCAGCTGCTCCCGCTGCACGCAAAGCTGGATGCAGGGAGCACTGCAATTACATCACGCAGAAACAATAGGGTTTTCAGAAAACACAGCACTTTCAGAGCGGCAGCAGGAGCTGTCCCCACCCTAGCATTGTGGGTGTTTGCTGGGCAGGGCTCCGCTGGAGAGAGGAAGGGCGACAGTTTTCCTCCATCACCATGGGAGCATTTTATAACAGGAAATTTCAGGGAAAAGGGTGAAACTTTGCATGTATTAACTCTGCCGGCGCATGTTCCCCGACCAGGCAGTGAATACAAAACAGGAATACAAAACAGCAGAGATGCTGCAGGGAGGGGAATGATTCACACAGCTACGACCGAGCAGCCCGCTTCTCCTCATCTGTGTCACCTCCGCTCCTGCGCAGCCCGGCTCTGGCTCGCCCTCCCCACTGTGCTGATGGCAAAGAGCAGGTAAGAAGCCCACGGGCTCATTTCACAGCCCCATGGCACCAAAAACATGGTCTTCCTCCTGCCCCTACTCCAACACTGACTTCCATGGGCCTGATCCTGATGTGTCCCTGGATTGCAAACTGGGTTGCGAATATCTTTGTTTTCCAGAAATACCCAGGGAGGCTTCCCGGGACCAGGCAGTGTCTGGATGTGGAGCTGCTGCCCCCACCAGAGCCTGCTCCCTGCTAGGAACCACGTGCCCAGCACCCCACGCTGGGTGATGGCTCCCAAGCACGGAGCTGTGGGCATGGAACTGCGAGAACCTAAGCGAAACCAACTCCTCACACCTCTAAGAGACCTCTCAGGCTTCAGTCAAACCCTCTGAGTCAGTGCAGCCCAACGCAGCATGGAAACTGGGGCCACACTGCGGGAGGTGCCCTCTCCAACTTCTAAACGCTCTGAAAGAGCAGATGAAAGAGAACAGATAAAAAAGCTTCAATCCCACCTGTACAGACTGCGAGTAGCAAGGCACGGAGGCAGGCAGAGGTCAGGGAAGGAGGACAAGCAAGAACTGTCCCCGTTTCTCCCCATTTCTCCCTGCAGCACAGGCTGACACAGCGCCCACGTCCCTGCGTGGGGACAGCCCTCCCTGAGCCCCCGCAGCCTCACCTCGTTGCTGATGGTGGAATCTCTGTGCATCATCCTCTGAATGTGGGAGTCCAGGCTGGCCCCAGAGGAGCACTTGGCCAGGGCTGCGGCGTGCGACTCCTTCTCCCTCTGGCGGACGATGGCCTCGCAGCCCAGCCACTCCGCCATGGTGTGCTCGTAGCACGTGCGGATCTGGTCGTCGGCCTGCGGCGGTGAGACACAAACAAGGTCTTTGAGCAGCTTTCCCAAAGAGCACAGAAAACCGTGCCTCCTCCACCCCCCTGCACAGGGGAGCCAAGTGCACGCTTGCATTAGCTATGGCTCAACGGGACACGAAATCACCTCATCTCCTGCACTGTGCCAATCACAGCCTGACCCAAGAAACCTCACAAAAATTAGGATGGAAAAATGATCGTCTGCCTCCTTCCTGCCTTCCAGAGGCACTCAGGGCACTCTCTGACGTAAGCAACCAGCAGCTGCACAGGGTAACATCAAGCTTGGTCCTATCAATTCCTGCTTATCTGGCCCTACTCCCACTTCCTAAGTACAGCTACAGTACAAAGGGGACAAAATGGCCAGTGTGGACTCCAGAACACTGTGAGCTGGGAAACGTCCAGGGTACACCAATGCCATGCTCATACCGACCTCTTTCCTTTCTGCTTCTGTCATCCCAAACTGATAGTGGCCCAAGAGGAAGGGCCAGACAGCCTTCCTGATCTCGTGCTGGATCCCACCGTAGTAGATCAGCCGCAGCAGCTCCTGGTCCTCATAGCTCTGTGGGAAGGATCCAAGTCAGCGTGCACAAACAGCCGGGACTGCAGCCCATCGGCTGGCAGTGCCAGCCCAGCCTGGCCACAGCACCTCCCAGTACCCGGAGTGCTGCCAGACCCCCACCACCCACACACTCATCCTCTACAGATGCTCTCTCACATCTCCACCTGGAGTTAAGTTCAGCCAGCGGCCCCTGCAGATGGACATTTGGGGAAATGTTGGCTGTCTATGCCCAGAAAGCGTCCCACCAAAATTACCCAAGGTCACTGCTGTGCCTCTGTGCCCCAGAAGAGTGTCCGAACAGTGCTGGCCCTACCGTGCTGTCCTCCAGGTACTTCTGCCATATGTCCACAGTCAGTCCTGAGCTAGCGTTGCAGGGCACGTCAGGAGACACGATGTTGTGGTTAACCAGGGCCGAGAGGTGGGTTCGCACCGTGGAGAGGTGTCTGCAATAGGCCAGCCCTGCGTCAGACAGAAGCAAAAGCTCATCTGGGGAACTCGGGGAGTCACAAGGGCAAAGTGCTGGGGACAGCTCTGATCAGTCTGGTCCCTGCAGGAGATCCTCTCAAGCCACAGCCAGCCTAAGCAGCAAAGCAGGGAGCACAGCAGGACCGGCTGGCATCTCACTGTCCTGTACCCACCAACAGCTTGCTGGGCTGATGTCTGAAACTCAGAACAGAGTTCATCTGGCTGCTGCCAGTCCTGAGCAAGTGTTCCTGGGGCCCTGCATGCAACAAATGGATCCAGGCCCCCTAGCCACTATCCTGTTGTTTCTGCACCACTCCTAGCCCTGAGCCCAGGACCTTATCCCTTGCCCATCACACATCTCAAGGCATCGTGGATGTGACAAGTACTCACAGCCATAGAAAGCCCGGGAGAGGATCTGGTACTTCATATTGTCACACAGGAGCTTCAGTGGAGCTCTGCCAATAAAAACACACTGGATGTGAGCACAGAAATGCTCCCATGCCCTCAAGTGTCTTGGCTTTGATCTAACTGTGCAAGCTTTGCTTTTACAGGTGCACCAGAGGACCTCTGCTCAGCTTGGGAGCAGCAATTCTTGCTGTCAGGACACAGAACAGCTGAGAGACAAGCCTCACTTCAGCCTGGACGTGCCCCCCAGCAGATGTAAATGGTCCCTGGACACGGCGAGGCTGGAGACACCATCGTGCCGTAGCTGTTCTAGTTTGGCCATCCACCCAGCTCAGCGGGGCTCTCAGCTGCAGGCCTGTTTTACCTCACCTGTATTTCTCCAAGCAGGCAGCAGTGGAGCTGTCGTACCTTTCGTGGCTGCAGCCGTTGGACGGCCCCCCGTCAGAGGAGCCGCTCTGAGAGCAGGAGGAGCAGGAGGACTTGCGGGTGTTGGGTTGCCACATGGGAGGCAGGCCAGCACCCTGCGCGTCCATCAGGTCCTGGGGCACTGTAAGAGGGCAGAGAGGAGCATCAGCCACTGCCCCCCAGCCAGGTGGGCCACAGGAGATGGACAGAGGGGAGTTTTGATCAGCAAACGCAGCACCCCGCACTCTTTCCAAGGAGACACCGGCAACCAGGTAGGACCCAACACCAGCTGATCACAGCACCAGCACCGATGAGCGCTGGAGAAAGGAAAGGTAACAGAGCATTGATGAGAGAGCATAAAAATCATCTGCTAATTAACTGCAGTGCCTTCAGCAAGCTCATCTCAAATCACTGAGTGCTGACTGAGGCAGAAAACAAACACCCAATCCAGAAGGACTTGAGACAAGGCACTGCAACAGACTGTCACAAAACTAATTAAAAACGTGATTGAAAACAACCATTGTCCCAGGAAGAGTAAATCACTGGAAAGGAAAAGCCCCCATCTCAAACACCAGGATCTCATCCAAGCTTCAGGGAAATATGAGAACATCCAAATCACAAGACAGGACAGACTTTGATGCAGACGTTGAGAGGGGCAGCAGGAACAAGCAGCAATTCTTGTTGTCATTTGCTAAATCCCTGCTTAAACTCAGAAGTGCTATTGCACTGCCATTCGGTCTTGGGCCTCTCTAGGAAAAGGCCGACACGATGAAGGTGAAATGTGGGATGCAGACAATGATTAACGAAGAAAAATCTTGTTGGGTCTTCCTTGGAAATTAAATCAGATCTCACTAACCCTACCTGCTTGTGAGACTGAATAACTGCTGATACTGGTAAGAAAAATGCTGAAGTGTTCTCATTAGGAGCCCCTTCCTTTCCTTCCCTTTCCCTCATACCGAGCAGGTGCTGATGGGTCAGTGGCAGGCAACTCTGCAGGAATTGTCAAGTGACAACAAAGGCAAGCACGTGTACCAGACAAATGACAGCTGCATTACACTGATGCTGAGTGGCCCGCAGAGCCACAAGCCGGGGTCGGGATGCGGTGGAGAGATTCGGAGACCGTTTGTGGATCACCACCATCCTGCCTGCAGCCGGAGTCCTTGCAGTCTTCCTTCTCCCAGCAGAGATGGAGATCACAGACGCAAGGAATGGGTGAAAATTACCATTAATGGTAACTAGAGACACAGAGACGGGACAAGGGCACAAATGAATGGGGGAAGGAAGAATCTGTAGAGAAGAACGAACCGCTGCAGTTCCACCCCCCTTTGGGAAAATCTATAGAAACTGCACAGACTGCGATGACGCCAGCTGAAGAGATTGCAGCAATTCATTTAACAGCAAATTTGGCCCCCAGCGCAGAATTTTAAGGGGTAGATCAAAAGGAAGCTACAGAAAGGAGCGTCTCCCCTCAGCTATTTTGGCCTCAATCAGATTTTTATCTGACTCACTGGGCTGTGTTAGTCAGCTAAAGGCAGAGAGAACCAAGTATAATCTTTAGTGATGCTATGGAGGAGTCACAGGAGATATAATTGTCCCCCTTCTAGCCTCAAAAGTATAGGAACAGGTTTTTGATCAGATTTCATAGCTTTTCAGAAGCACGCTTTGAGTTTTCTATTACACTCCTGGTTTGCCCCTTTACAAAGCCATCTGCAATGCTTCCAGAGGTCAAAGAAGTGTTCTTGGTGTCCCACAGAAGAACAAAGAGAAATGTGCAGGCACTTCAGCCAAGGACGTTGCTCTGATCATTCACAAATGGATATCAAGAGAGATCTCTGGTTTGGTGAATCCAGTAGCATTGTCTCCCTGCCCTGAGTGGTAGGAGGTGAAAATATGTGGGTCAAACCTGGTAATACCCAGTGAGGGCTCCTGCTACCTGCGCTTTGTGCTGCAGAGCAGCGCTGACTGCAGGCTATAGCTGGATTTAATACAGAACCTGCTGAGTTGGCCTGGTGATAGCAAGAGGAAGAATACCAAGGGACACGACCAAAGGGAAGCTTGCTACTGAAATAATGTGCAGTTTTCCAACCACACAGGCACTCAAGGCCTGTTCTGCGGTTGCGGAAATGAAGTTTTCAATGGCAAGTGAGAGATAAAAAACAAACAATGTTTAGTAAGAGGCAGTACTGTTATAGCAAAGCCTGTTCCTCTGGAACCACTCCCAGGCACCGTTTGCAGTGTGCCCATCAGTGCCGTGTCCCTGGTCACTCACACACCTGGTAACAGCCACCTGAAACTGGTCTCTGCCAACACACTTACCGAATTCAGACTGCGTCCCTGGGTAGATTATTCTGAAAACATAATCTGTGGCTTCGTCATCTTCCTTGTCGGATGCAGACTCGGAGGAGCCCTGGGGACTTCGCTTCCTCAGCTTGGGAAACACCTTCCCCTGGTGAACAAAACCTGCTCTTCACAACGGCCCCACCAAAGCCCTGCCCAGCAAGAGCACGTGCTTGGTCAGCCTGGACAACATCTGCACATTCCCCGTGCTGGAGCAGGCCTTTGGATTAAGGCTTTGACTACAACACGAAGACGTAGCCCTATTTATGCACGCAGTGTGATCTGCCCCCTCCGTGCTGCCTACCTTTCCCCGCTGTGACCAGAGGGGTGGGTCCAGCTGCCCGTGGGGCAGGAGGCCGTTCTCCAGGCAGGACAGGAACTGCAGCAAGTGCCCTCCTTTGGGGAACCGCAGCGGAGGCCTCTGGATCCCATCCTGGCTCACCAAGACGACCGTTCCGCCGCTGTCTACTATTAGCAGCAGTGACAGCAGAGAGAAGACACACACACATCAAACATTACCAGACAAAGATGCAGAGGGCAGGCAAAAAGCTTAGGGAATTGTTTTTCTGGCATGCTAAACAGATTTTCTCCCTTGTTTGGATTCTTTCATAAATCCATTGTGAGTCTGGGGCCCTGGAGAACGCATGCCTGGTAAACTGCACCCCTGAAACCCCAGAGCAGTGCTCCACAGGGAGCCCTCTGCAGCCAACACCACAGCCAGGAGCTGGTTTAAAGGATTTCCTAGATGCAGTCACATAGCAGTGACCACCCAGAGCTCTGGAAATCCACCCTAGAGCTGAATCACAACATCCCATCCCCATACAGGCACACCCCAGAGATCCAACCATGCCAGTGTCAGGGTAACACCCTCCCCTCCAGCAGCCCCCAGCCTGGCCTTACCTTGCTGGTGGCAGTGCAAATAGACGATCTCCTCCAGGCGAATAGTCATGGCATAGTCCCAGTACACGCTGGAACAGAGAGAGGAAGTCCTGAAGTTCTGGGGTGCACCAGGCTCTGCTTCTCTTCACATCAGCTCCCCTCCAGCTGTCCTGACACCAAGGGAAGCTACGGAAAGGCTGAAGCCCCACAAGGCCAGCCAGAATAAGTGACAGCATCCCTCCAGAACCAGTTACTGTCCCTTCTACTGGAGGGGGAAATAAACCCTGGCAATCTGTGTTACTTCAGAGCTGAGAACAGATTTGGTTTGCACTGCTTCTGTTCTGGGGCTGCACTCCCTCAGCAAAGACACCGCCAGATGGCCGAGCAAATCAGTGACGTGCTGGGAGAGATGCTGGTCAGGATGGGACTGGGGGTGACAGAGACCCCAGCAGGGAGCTGGGGATCACCCCAGCAGACACGAGGCCTCACCTTGGGTTTCATTTCTGTGGAGAGCCTAGCAAGAGGACTGCTCTATGAAGGTGTCAGCATTTAACACCTTCCTATTGCTTTCCAACAAAGCAAATTTCCAGTTTCTGAGCAGCACATCTGTCACTTTACAAAAATAGTGCTTAAAATGAAGGCATCACAAAATGGCTCATAAAAAGCCAGCTAAGGATGGGAAGGGGTGCACAGAAGTCACTCCCTGTAGGTTCATACTTACTTTGTCATCCGACTCCTCTCTTCCTTGGTCACATCTTGACACTGGGAAGTTTTAGAGCTTAGGCTGATGCCCAAGTCAAGAACTCAGAAAAGTAGTGGTGAGATGAGAATAGCATTTTAGGGGGAGGGTACAGGCATAATGGAATGGCCCAGGAGCCAAGAAGAGAGGGGAAATGAAAAAGAACACAGGTAAACAAAACCCAAAAAACTAAAATTGAGAATAAGCAAAACTGACAGCAAGTTTTTTTGAAGATGATCTTTGTCATAGGCCAAAGGAATGGTGTGCTAAATGTTCCAGTTTTCCTGGACTATTTGCTGATGGATGGGGATTTTGTTTGCTTTGTTTTTTCCCTCAGGCAAATTAGGACCTGGCATGACTCAGTAGTTTGTTAAAAGGATTGCAGCTATGGAGAGAAATGCCAGCAGCCCATAAGGCAATCCCAGACAAAGGGGCATGGCAAAACACCCTGCTGAACAATCGACTCCTAAGCAAACTTCAGTCCCATTAGAGGAACGAACTCCAAGAACTCCGTTAAATTAGAGGGACTTTGATCACCTGCACATAGGACCATCAGGAGTGTGCTGAGATAGCACTATGAAATGGAACCCACTGTTACTGAGGTGGTGATATCTGGGAACTGCTCACGTTCTCTCTCTGCAGATATCCTTCCCCTGCTTATAGACTCCTTGCTTTCCCAGCTTAACCGTAATAACAATGTAATACTGATGACAAGCCTAGCAGCACTGTTCCACATGTAGAGAGGGCAACCCCCTGAGGAGATCACTGAGAGCAATAAATCCCCCCACTTTGCACCTTTCAGAACAAGCACCCTCTCCAGTTCCCTTGCTGAAATCTTCCAGCATAGATGGCTACACCACAGCATCTCCCACCAGCTGCTGCAGCCTCCCTCTCCCTTCCTCTGATACAAACTCAGAGCTGTTCAGCTCTGTAGTGTCAATGGGAAAGTTCGCTGATGGCACTGGATGCCAGATACCACCTCCGAACCCACAGGAATGTTTGCCTCCCCTCTGCCCTGCGTGAGCACGCACTGGGAGCCAGTCACCTCTTCTCGTAGTCCAGATCCCCCACGGAGCCATTCATCAGCTGGTTGGGAGTCCACTTCAATGCCATGATGTCGGCAGTCTGGTGAAGGGACAGGTATCCCGGGATCGCCTCCATGTCGTCTCGCTTTAGGAAATAAAGGTGAGGAGAGAGTGAGCTGCTGAGAGCAGCCTGGAAGACATCAGAAGCAAGCAGCACCACTTCCTGCTACCCAAGGCTGATGCATGCCCCATAGCACAGTCCTGGACCCAGATGTCCCAGCAGGTACTTACTGGCTGCACCAGGACATTGTTTTTGCCATACAGGAGCGTGGCCCGGGAATTCTGGTGCAGCGACTCCACGTAGTCCCTGGCGGACAGCGATGGCCGGTCGTCCATACTGCCGCTTGAATGCCTTTTCTGAATCTGGAAGAGATCCACCTACAAACGTGAGGTGAGCATGGACACCTTCTGCTTTCTGAAAGCATCACTTCAAAGCTCATTTCCTCCTCACATATACTTAAAAAGCTCAGTACTAGAAACCTCCTCCTTTGTGTCCTCTAAGAGGATCCCTGGCTCTGGCCAAGCTTGATTCTGTACTTACAGAAGCCCCAGGAGTGTGCTTTGTTTGCAATAAACTGAGCAGACTTCAGCTGCCTTCACTTTTAGTCCATACACGCTGTTCCTAAACAGCAGAGACCCTTTCGGGATGCGGTGCCACACTGGTCCAGCACACTCACAGTCTCCATGCCCACGTTCCCAGCACTTCTGGCTTGAAGACATGAAGTATCCTCACTTTTCTACCTTCTCTTACCCGAGGGCTTCACAGCCCTTTTCAAACAAGGGGAGCTCCAGACCCTGGTGAGCGCTGCGAGGAGCTGCCCCCCTCCCAGCCTGCCCCCACTCACACAGAGCGCCGGGCGCTTGGTGGGCGAGTCCTGCCGGCAGTGCGAGCTGTGGATCCGGTGCCTCTGAACCAGCTCGTCGGCCGAGGGGTCTGTCCAGAAGTGGTCGGCTGTCTTCATCTTGGTGTACTCCAGTGCACAGGGACCCACTGCACAGAGAGGAAAAGCACAGACAGTGAGCACGGCCAGCTCTCAGCATCCCAGAGCAGGAGCAGTGGGACTGCAGGCAGCAAGCACCAGGCTCAGCACACGTTGCTGCACCGTGTAACAGCAGCAAAGAACTCAGAAGCAGTCTGCTGGCCCTGGCAAATAACCCAGCACCTGCAGAGCCCTGCGTGTACTGTTTTCAAGGGCCAGGCATCAGCCCTGGTTTACACCTGTTGGTATTACCAAAGCCTGTGCAGGAAAAGGAAACCCCTGAGCTCAGCCTTGCAACTTCCCATCTCGACTCACTGCTCAGCAGCTGGGCATCATCTGTTCTTTAGGAGAGCCCCACAGATTTACCTGGCCGGGGCTATTAAGTTTTCTGAAGCTCTTACTAAAAAACAATTGAATTGGGATCGCAGGACTGTGAGCACAGGTTTGGAAAGCAAGCTATCAAAGCAGGGTAAGATGAAAGAGTTACCCAATAAAGATGCGAGAATCGGTCCATCCACAGGATCCATCAGGAGAGCTTCTTTCTCGTAGTACTTACTAGAAGAGATTAAAAGAACAGAATGCTGTAGCATTTCAGCCCCCTGGAACTGGAACTGCAAAATGATAGAGATTGTTGTTTGAAACCACTGTAATGCCCTTCTCTGTCTGTATCCTTCCATGACAGCGAGAGGCCAAGGAGCCTGTTACAGGCTGTTCCTGCTAGCCTCAAAAGTCCTGGGGGGTTGATGCCCTCGTGCAGCACACTGCCAGCATCATCATCTCCTATCAAAGCTTTCCTGGGGCTGGGGATGACACCTCCCCAGGACAGGAGGCCTCAGCATGCAGTTCCCAGGAGACAAGGACAAGTTGGTCCTCAACAACTCAGCCATCAGCAGAGCAAGCATGGCCTGTCCTTATTTTAGGGAGCGTACGGGGACTGCCAGGAGCAGCGTATCAGCTCCTTGCTCTGCACCACTTGGACACAGCTCAAGCAGCAATATCCCCAGCACCCCTGGAAGGGGCAGATGCTGGTAGTGAGTTGTGAGGGGAAAACGGTTGGGTTGTGCCAGCACTCACCTGCTGTTCTCTACTAAGTAATGCACGATTTTATCCAAGACCTTTTCAAAGAGGGCTGTTCGGATCCAGAGGTGTTTGATGGCCTGAGGAGACAGGTTGGGCAGCTTCGGCACCTTGCGCACGTTCTCTGGGATGCTCTGAACTTGATTTCGTCTTTAGAGGTAAAAGGGAGAAAGACAACATCATCACTGGCTCATCACTGAGCACTGCAGGCCCAGAGCATTCATGGCTCCTGGTGGGACACAGGCCCTGTCCCCCAGGAACCCTGGGGACAGGGCTCCAGAGACTGCTCCCTTCACCCATCCCAACCCCTATTCCAGAAGGCCCACATCCACATTTGAAAACTGAGTTCACCAAATCTGTTTTCAATTGTAAAGGCACCCTAGGACAAAGTCTCTACGTCAGCAGTCCTCAAACCCACACCTTTTCCACTAGAGCCTAAGGACTGAATTTCATAAGCAGAGCAGCTTATCTCAGGACAACTGGAATATTCCTGCCCCCAGGGAGCTGCTCCATCCATCTCCCTGTTTCTTGTCCATGGCTGAGTAAGCCACACTTAAACAGAAGCTGAATTACTGCAGGTTACAGCCCTACACATTGAAGCAAACCAGATTTGGTTCCAGTTGGCTTCGTGCACTGGTCCATAAACTGTGACAGCTCACGAGCAAATTTGTGCAGCTCTCCCAGCAGCATAAGACAAGGGGCAAAGGAAGAGATAACTTGTCCACAACAAGAAATAGCTTAATCCACAACTGCAACTCATAGGTGCAGAGAAGCAACCGGTTCACTGAAGATACTAAAAGCCCAATAGAGGACTCTGCGCTTCTGGAAGAGCAAATCCTCCTACAAATGCTTGGACATTTCAATCCACAGTGACACCCAAATGACACGATTCCACACCAAAATGCAAGTGGTTTGTAGGACAATAGCCACGCTGATGCCTTACGCATTCTCGATGAGCTGCTCCAGGTCCTGCACCTTCTTGCAGAGCTCCTCTGCCAGCGGAAAGCTCTTGCCCACCTTCATGAAGAGAGCTGCTATCTTGTTGCTGCGCAGGAACCCTGCCGCCCTCCGCTTCAAGCCGTACAGGACACAGGCTTCCACAGCAGCTGCAACAAAGCAAAGTTGTTACTGAAGTGGCAGGAGAACTCGCAGCTGGGCTGCTCTCATGTCACTGCTGCATCCGTGACCTTACTCTACAGCAAAAATGTTTCCCAAGAGAAATCAACGTCATGTTCTGTTTCTGCCTAAGCAGACAGAACGTTAAGGTACCCAGCTGTTACGTGACCCAAAGCAGCACAGTTTATGCCTGTAGAGCTATCAGTTTTGCTGGCTGTACAGATATTATTTTAGTTCTACAAAAATGGGAAATTGACACTGGCAAAGTTCAGCTAGTCTGGTCAGAAGGACTAGTGTGGTGCAAGTAAGCCTGAACCGTGCGTGTGCTAAAATACAAGTACTTCAAAAAAAAGTTAGCTTGTGCCTGCTACAGTAGGTCCAGTAAATCACTAGAGAGGAGTAGGAGAACAGATTAACTCGTCTTGGACTTGCTTTGTGTGACCAACAGCCTCAGGAGATCTCACAGACCTGTGATGAGATGAGACACAGTTTGCAAACCAGCGGCGGTTCTGTGCCCCCAGCAGCGATCAGCCCGCACTGACGTGCCAAGCTAGCAGCCTGGATTAGGATTCTTTGGAGCACGTTGTTCATTCATAAAGCAGCAGGAGGAAGGACCTGAACCTCTACGCTTGCAGCCCTTTGTTCCAAAAATGTCAAGATCCAGCTCTGCTACATAATATGCTGAATGCAAACAAATCAATGCGAACACTGGGAGATCTCAGCAGCGGGGTCATATCCTGCTCCAGGCCCGTGCCAGCACCACCACTGGTAGTGGAGCAGTGATTTTCTCAGCAGAGCAGAGCCCAGCTCACGGTGCGGCTGTAATCACAAGGCTCAGGAGCTGCCAAGAGCCTGTCCATGCAGAGTCAGGCAGGTTAAGCCTGTGGGAGGAAACACTCCTGTGGTTTAACCACGCCAAGCTCAGCGCTGCTGCACTGCACAGAAATGCAGCTGGCTGCGCTTCCCTGGCTAAATGCCTCTGGTTTTGGGTGCCCACTGTGTCTGCAGGGCCAGAGGTCACAGCCAAATGTGGGACAGCAAAGGCTTCCTCTGCCTCGGGCACTCCCCAAGCCCAAGGGATCAGGGAGCCCGGGACAGGCACGGCTGCCCAGGGAGCCCAGCAGGCACCGCACGGGAAGGTGCCGCACGTACAGGCTGTGCCGGCAGGATGCTTGCCGGAGTCCCCTGGGAGGGCTGAGGATGGATGTGTAGTGTCAAACTCAGACCTATTAAACAGGCTGATCAAAGCACTGGAAAATTACACGGGCACGCAGCTCCACAGGCGATTGATCGGGGTCTGCCAAGAAGCTTTCTGGCACGCCAGCACCCTCCTCGCCCAGGAGCGCAGCGCCGCAGAGCCGTGCCGAGCCTTCCCGCAGCAGCCCAGCAGATGCTGCTGAGCCTCTCGCTCGGAAAGGCATCTTCTACAGCTGAACAACTCGGTGGAGACATTTAAAAACACATTTCATGCAGGCCTGTACACATCAGCTCCCTGGGCTGCGAGATGCTCTCATTATCTCTGCCCTGTTTAGCACCGTGCCCGAGTTCACCGCGGGGCGGGCAGGGTGGGCGCAGCGCTGGGGCTCCGAGGAGCTGCGAGAGACACCCTGTGCTCACAGCACCCCTGAGCCAGCCGAGTCCTGCTCGCCCAGAACCCAGAGCAGCTAGCTGGACAGCTGGTTTTTCAATAAAGCCCTGCGCAACCCCTCCTGCAGCCTAGACACGCTGCACATAGCGTGGCCCACGCGTGGATGGGATTTCCCACCTGTCCCAGACTTTGGTTTCAGAGCACAAGGCGATGCTGACACGCAGCTGAACACACAAATCACAGCAGCACCTCCAAAACTGGGGAGAAGTCCTCCCTCTCCCCTGAGCCTGAACTGAGGGCGAGGTCTCTACAGAGCCACGCTGCCCGTGGCAGCTCTCTGCCTCGCTGGGCAGTGCGCCACCACCCCCCTTCTCCAGTTTGGGTTTTCCAGGATCTCCCCATTCTCAGGCAGCTGTTTGCAGCCCTCTGGGCAATGTCTACAGCAGACCCCAGCCTGGCCAGGCTGCGATGCTCACCCCGTGCAGCTGGGTGCCACGGCTGCTGGACACAGGCAAAGAGCACACCAGCTCTGCCAAGCCACCAGCTGCCAAATCCGCTCTGCTGCCCATCACCGACTTACCACGGACCAGTTTTCTGCCAACTGCACGTGGTAACAGGAGGGCTGCAAGGCAACAAGCCCACAAAGCCCCTCCAGGCCTCGCACCCACACTGGAACAGCAGAGAAAAGTCAGGCCAGAAGCGCAGGGCAGGCGGGTGAGGTCTCCCTGCCCCTGCTGCCCAGCAAGGTGCCGGAGTGAAGCAGGTGCCCCTCTGCCAGCCCCCGGGGTGCCATACGAGGATAAGCCAGGAGAGAGCAGCCCTGGACACAAGCGTGGGCACTGAGAAGCCACCCAGGAAAGGGCTGGGGCTCGGGCTGTCCTGCAGCCCCTGGGACAGAGCCCGCTTGGCACCACATCCTTGATGTGTGGTCAGTGCTGTTCTCCATTTCCAGCAAGAGAGGAGAGCGCTCGTGCCTGCCCAGGAAACCCAGCAGATTGCTCTGCTCACGTCACGGCCAATGCAAGGCACGCTGCTGTCAGCTAGGGAGCAGCACCCAGGAGAAAACCTGGAGAGAAGAACGGCCTCCCAGTGTGCTCCAGCAGCACAGAGCAGCCACCAGCACCTGTCCTCAACGCCATACCCAAACTTCTCCAAATGCTACTCCTGCTGGCAAAGCCACACACGAACGCACTCTGCGTAGGAAAACCTCTCTGTGCTCTGCCAAGGTCTCAGAAGCACGAGCACACAAACCAAGAGCACCTTGCCCACACTAAATCCAGGAGAAATGGTGCATTCTTTTTTAACCTTATGTTTTCTTGAGATGTTTCTGAGATCCTGAGTGCGGCTGAGCACTAAGGCAACCTGAGCACTGACGTGGGCAAACAGCCCCGGGTACGGGCAGGCCCCCAGCCCTGCCAAGGGTGCTCCGTCAGCCTCCCAGGGCAGCACAAAGTGACAGATGCCAACTCGTGTTTGTCTGCTTCCAGCCCTCCCCTCGTGGGCAAATCGGAGCGGCTGGGTGCAGCTGCCCTTTCCTGCCAGCCCACTGGTTTCATCGGAAGGGGTTTGCGGTACGCTGGGCACGCAGAGCAGCGGGAGGATGAGGAGGGCTCGGCGAGGAAGGCAGCTCTCCCCAGAGAAAAGGGCAGCTCTGCCTAGCCAGAGCCAGGCTTGCAGCACGCTCTGCTTGTCAGCAGAAGAGGTTATTTATAAGCTCAGCCGGCACACGGGGAGCTGCAGCACTCAGGAAGGTGCACGTACCGGCCAAATTAGAGAGCAGCAGCCTAGGTGTAGAGCCCAGAAGCCAGTGAAAGAGCAGTGGCATCATTAAGAAGCCAGAAGGAACCAACAAGTCCTTCGTGCCTGGATGCCTCAGCTCCGTGTCGCAGCAAGCTATAAATAATTCCGGGCTGCGAAGCCTCGTGCTGTACAGAGCAGCAGAGAATGAGTCACACCTTGAAGTCTGTTCTGCTCTTTCGATGCCGTTCAGTCGACAGAGCACAAAGGCACACAGGCCTGAAACATGCGCCTGCACGTATTTCATCCAGGAGCCCTGGGAAAAAAAGGAGGAAGGCAGCCTCTTTGCTCTCCAAAGAGAAAGGGAGACCTCACAGCTCCCTTCTTTCTCTTCCGTGCATATGTCTGTGGGTGCTCCAGTCTCATTCAGTGGTAACAGCACTACGCGAGCCTTATCGGAGCAACTCCTCCAAAAGCTGGCTGTCATCACTTCTGTCATTTTCCTCCCAGCCTCCAAATTAGCAAGCTGCCCTTCAGCTATTTGTAAATGGAGGAGGGCTGCTCCCCCTCCGCACGCTGCCTGCGGCATTTGCTCAGCAGCAGCCACATGGCCCCAGCACGGGCGTGCTGGAAGCGCAGGGACTGCGGCTCTGCAAACATCTCTGCGGGGAGCCGACAGCCACAGCAAGCAAACCAGGCACCCAACGGGCACAGGCTGCCCCCCTTACCTGGAGCCAGGGCTCGTGGTGCTGGTGCTGAGCGGTGCTTTCAGCTCCCTCGGCATCCTTTGAAGTGGAGGAGCTTGTCCTGAGCAAGAGCCATGGGGAGGAGCGGAATCGCTACCCGAGAAATGGTGAGAACTCAAGGGACCCCGAGCAACCCGGTCTGCCCCTCAAAGTGGTAAAAGACCCGATGTCAGGGCACAGCCAGCCTCCTCCCTTAACACCGCTTCTCTTCCAAAGGCAGGAGAGGTCTGTGAGCAGCCCTGAGCCCGCGGGCAGAGGGAACCCTCCCTGCTCTGCCTCCCGGAGCCAGCACCCATCGCTCGGGCAGCTGCCAGCGAGGAGCCGAGGCAGGTGGAGGGCAGCAGGCACCCTGCCAAAGCACACTCTGGAGCTGTGGGTGAGTGGGTAAACACTCCACGCTGACAGGCTGCTGGTGCCCCGTTAACGCTGCCTCTTTGTGTGCTTGAAGCCCCCTCTGGCCCCGTCCCCATCCTACCTGCAGCCCCCAGAGCTGGGAGCTTTCCTCACCCACACCCAGCGCAGAGGGGCTGGTTCCAGGCCCGGGGCTCCGTGGGCCACAAGAAACTCACCCAGCTGACAGCCTGAGGTGCTTCCCTCGTTATCAGCACAGACTAATTGGTTTCTGCATAGGTTTGGGACTCCTCCACACCCACCCCAGCCACCAGCCAGGTTTCTCCACTTCCACGAACTCCGTGCCTGGTAGCACTCTGCAGACCGAACGCCTGATGGTGCTCGAGGAGCTGCTTCACCTGGGGCACTACCCGTGTCCCTCCCAGTCTGAAGGGTGAAGGAAGTTACACAGAAGGGCCAGAACAACAGAAAAAACGTAATTCTGCCCCCTTGATTGCAAAGCCTCCCCTGATGATCAGCTGTGATCAGAAGCTGAAGCCCTGCTTTCTTCCACCAGAGGAGACAGGGAGCCGACCCGGCACATATTGCTGGCAAAAGGCAGCTGCTCTTCAGGGAGGTTTTGAAGCAAAGGCTTTGCCAAGACTTCGATGAATGAATTCTGAAACGCTTCCACATTTACAAAATTGTCACACCAGCAGAGGAAAAAAAAAAAAGTGAGAAAAGCAGGTTAAGTGAAAAGCACAGCTGCCAGAAAACAAGACCCGCAGCGGCACAGTGTCAGAGCAGATCTTCCACAAGCCCCATTAGGTGCTGTAACAGCCTCCAGACCGAAGCCTCCCTTCCATAAACTCCTATTCCACAATAGCAAAGGAATATTTACAGGCTTTGTTGAATTGATTCTCAAGGGGCTTAAAAAACAAAGATTATTTCTAGTATTTCTTAAGTGACCGTATGCACTGCCAGCATCCTTCTGACACGTGTCGATCTATTTCGGGCACAAAGCGAAGACCTCAGGGATCCAGATTCCTGCCAGAAGAGCTCAACCTCTGGCACCAGCCACCTCCCCAGGGGGACATCCCTGGGAGCACACACAGCACAGCCGGGCCACGAGGCAGGAGACCCCGCGTGAGGGTGCTGCAGCCCCAGGTCACGCCGACATCCCACCACCAGAGACTCACCGCAGAAGGAGATGATGTGGCTGCTGTCCTCATGCACGAACTTCCTCGTCACCGCCTCCTCCATGATCTGCTTCACCTGTCGAACAGAGGTCCCGTTAGAGAAACTGGGAGATTTCACCCCAAGACCAGAGTGAGGAGAGCCGTGGTGGTGCCTCCACGGGGAGGAGGAACAGGGCTGGGCAGGGAGCGGGCCAGCAGCATGAATGTGGTTGTGCCATGAGGAACCCTCCTTGATCCTGACTTCTCTGACCACCTCCAACAGCACAAGAGGTCTCACGGAGAATCACTGCATCTCTGCTTGCCACTCATCATGGGTTATTTCAAAAAGTAACGACAAAAAGGATGCTTTGGTTTTTGAGAAACTTCAAAGTCAGAAAACAAGGAGCAGAGAATCAGCTGCAGGCACCACACATTGTTTAGATCAAAGGCGTCTAAATAAGGGTAACCAAACCTCGCTTTTAATGCTTTCATAGCATCGTGCTCTTTCACTGTGTGGGGCTTTGACAAATTTCATTAGGATCGCAGCTGCTCCAAATGACCGACAGCTGTGGCAGTGCCAAAGCCATCGGCTGGCACCGAGTGTGCCCAGGAATGCGACCTGCATGGCACTAGAAAAGAAAATAACGGGTAACCCACATAAATTGGGAGCGTGAGGAGACAGGAGGGAGGTCAGACCCGCCGGGGAAGCAGGCTGCTGCGCCTCCCAAAGCAGACCATATCCCGCTCAGAGCCGTGGTGACTTCCACCCTCAGCCATCGGCCTCCCTACTCCTGCTGAAACCAGCAAAAGCCCCGCTGAATGTTTGGTCCTGAGGTGTTCAGTTCCTAACAGTTCTTCCTTTTAAATACCGAGCTACCGGCATGCCCAGATCTCATCTTCCACTGCCCCTCAAGCATCCTGCTTTTCTCTCTTTGGTTGCAGAAAACGCAGGGGAAAGGGTTCACAGTGCGGAGACGTGGGCGTAAGAGAGGCTCTGCTTATCAAGATGTTCTCTGTAAAGGCACAGAGAAGAGAAAAAAAACAGCAGGTCAAGACTTGGCCAAGCAAACCTTGCATGTACGAGACCTTTAATGGAATTGTTTGGGGAACTGAACTCCTTCGGAAGCCGTAATCAAGGTCAGTTATGCACAACCGATGGCTCAATAAAGGAGGGCTTTTTATGAATATGGATTAAGAAAATAACCCTATCTAAAGCCAGAAGCGTCTGTCCGCATGTCGAAGCAAACAGGTCAGCTCCCCGTGCTGCTCCGCGCCGCTGTGCTGGGTAAAAACAGAGCTGCTGGAGAGCCCAGCAGGGAGCGGGGCTGGCGGTGACTTCACCTGCGGCCCCGGCTGCTCCGCTGAGCTGGCAGTGAGTCAGGGGCTGCAGCAGGGGATGGAACCGAGGTGTGGATGGTGAATGTTCATGGACCTTAAACTTAAACTGAGGGGGATGCTTCTGTGTGTGCAGGAGGCTGGGAAGAGCAAGGCTGGGAAAAAAAAAAAAAAAAAAAAGAAAAAAATCACTTGGGAATCGACGCACACAGTTTGTTACCGGCTTGTGATTAAAATCAGCAGATTCAAATTAAAGCAGTATATCCAAATATTTGGCAGCCACCCCTCGTGCAAGCCGCCGCCTTGCTGCCCCACTGTGGTCTCACCCCCCCATGATGGTTCTGTGGGGCAGGCACCATCTGCATGCACGGCGGGACTCCTGCTCCAGCCGGGCATCTTGGCGCGAGCACGGCACAGACAACCTGCACTTGAGAGGCCCAGAAGATCTCCTTCTGAGAGACGCAGCTTAGTGGAAAACTACCCGTTAAAGGAGAAAAAAAAATACACGGTATTGACTGAGGTTATCACCCTAAACAGCATAAATCAGAGATATTTAAAGAAGTGGGAAGGGCGCTGCAAGAAGGGCACCCACCTGACGCGAAGGGATGGAGCAGAACGAGAGCAGCCATACGATAAACACGACGCCCTGATAGCTAGGGAGACAGATGGGGTCTCATAAACACCCCAAAATCTTACATTTGCCCCAAAGTGGAGCAGGCTGGCATCCCTAGGACGGCTGAGCAGGACACTGCCCCACCCCAGAGCACCCCCAAATCCTGCCTTTCTCCTGAGGCTGTTGCCTGCTGATGCCAAATCAATCCCCTGCTGAGCCCCTGGGGATCACAACCCCCCCAGCAGCGACCCTACACCACGATCCCAAATCCTCCCTGGCAGCAGAGCGTGCCCACGGTGCTGCCAGGCTGCAGAGCGCCAGCTCGCCCGGGCTTGGCTCGTGCTGCAGGGAGGACTGGGGCTGCCTCATCCCGGCATTTTCATGCTAATCCTCACATTGTAGCCAGAACAATCCCAGCGAATGAAGCTGCCCACTCTCCGTCTAAAGGCAGACTACGGAAAATGAGATATTTACTCTGCGTTTATTAGAACGGAAATTAAAACAGCAAGCAGTAATTTAGCTGTAGGTAAACTCCAGAGGAACGCTGTGAGTTCTCTCCTGGAGAACAAAACGCCCTTCCCAGCACAGCCACGAGCCCAGGAGAGGCGATCCCCTGCCCTGAGAGCACGGGTGCAGACACCCCACAGGGAGATGGCCACGCAAACCCAGCCCCAGAGGTCCCAGAAGGCAGCCAGGATCTGCAGCCCTGCCTGAACTGCTGGCTTACAGCAAGCCAGCGAGCCCTTCTTTGCTACCCAGCCATGAATTACAGGATAAATGCCATTTGTTCCTCCTCATCCCGTCTCCAAAACGGGACCCAAAAGCCCAGGACGCTGAGAGGAGCACTGGGCATGTGGGGATCAGAGGTGTCTCTGCTACAAAAGCCCCAGGGTTATGCCTCACCCCAAAGGGGAATTCTCCCCATGCCCATACGCAGTCTCAGATGGAGCAAGCCAAAAATGACAGCAGTTAAAATAACCACCAAGGTGCAGAGACCAGGAGTGAGCCACGAACCCTGGCTTTCATTAGGCTCTCTTTGCTCATAACCCCGTCTTTTTACCCCAGGGAGGTCACTCCACAACCCGTCCTGCAGACTGTTCAGTCACGTTAACAGTCACAGTTTCTCCTGCCATGCTTTTTGCAAAGACTTTCACTGCTTATCAAGGCACTCCTGGTGGAGCAGGCTACCTCCCGTATGTTTGTCCACACTCATAACTCTCACTGTTTGCTCTAAGCCAGATGCAAACAGGCTGCAAAAGAAATCCTGCCAGCAGCTCCTCTCTTCCAAGAACTTGTTTCATCTGCTCTTCTACCTGTTCAAGAAAATGGGAAGCCAGAGAAACCTCACGTTGATGATACAGCCTTTAAACCTGGTTTACTTTTCCATGTTCACTTTTCATATTTTTTTATGAGCTTGCATCTTATTCTCATCGCAGACAAAGTTCTGCTTTCATCATGCATTTGGAAGTTAATGGCAGCACTGAAAACTCCCATTTTACCTGTTAGTTCTGATGCAACAAGTCCATGTGGGAAATCCTTGACATAATCCGAGCATTTCTTTAATTGCTTCTCTAAATCAAGGCCTCTTTCCAAGAACAAGCTCTGGTTAAGCTCTGCAGCAGACAGTTTCCCGGACACTGTGCAAGACTTGTCCATGCGGTGCCGCAGTATTATCACTTCTCAGGTATTATAAAATGCTAAGGGAGCACTTAGCGAAACAGACGCAATATTAACACAATCACAGGCGTGCTTGTGCTTGCAAGGACAAACACAGTTTGCTTGCGTTGCAGCTCAGCCAGCCCCACGGCAGGGCTTTGCCACCGGGTCACCCAGCTAAGATTTCCCAGCAGAGCACGGCTGATTTTTGTCCCTGGCTCTTGGGTTGGTTTGTTCCAACGGAGGCTCAGCAGGCAAGGCAAAGCGGGTGAAGAATCCCTGTTCGGCTCTAGGACACAGAAATATTATGCAAACCCCACTGTGGACTCGTGCACTGTCAGCCAGTGTCCATCAAAATCCCCGTGGAGCAAAGCGTGCTGGGGACGGCAGACAGAAAAAATGGCACAGTCGGTTGCAGTGGCTGTGCTGCAGCTCAAAAGCTGCTCTACAGCAGAACTTTCCAGTCCAATACCTCTCGCAAACTAGATTCATCTTCTCATTTGAAAATGAAATGTCTGCCTGCTGACAGTCTTGTTGCTTCTGCTGACAAAGACACAACATCCTCGTTTTAGCAGGCTTCTTTCTAAAACTCGCACTGTCAAATCCAGTGCTGCAAGATGCATCTCCCTATCTCCTCAGCCCCGAGCACCCTCATTATTCCGAAAGCAGGTGCCAGACAGACTTTTCCAGCACCATCACAGGTTGCAGCCCAGCTCTGCCACTTGTCTAAGACTCTACTAGCTGCCTCCTAAATAATTCCAATTAACCATGCTCCCACCAGCTAAAATAACGCCCATTGCAGAGCACACGCACTATTTCTGCCCAGATGCTCCAGGGGCTGTCACCAGCCACCCGGTGGCCCAGGGGACTGCTCCTGGTGTGCTTGGCAGACACGCAGCTGCTCAGCTCCTGCCCCATGGCAGCTGGCCGTGCAGTGGGACACCGCCGTGCGGAGCACAGCCCTGTGGTGCACAGCCCCGTCCTCCACTAACGCCTCCATCACCATTACCTACACCGGCACTAAAAGCTCTTCGGCAGCTCCATCTCCTTGCTGCCACAGAGACATCGATTGCAACCCTACTGGCTGAGACCTTTGGCTTCTCTAAAAGTCGTGTTTAATTATTTATCATCACCTACTAACTCAGGCACGAGGCAGCATCCCCGTGATGGGCAGCCTCCAGCCCAGCCGTGTGCGGGCACCTTGTGTCCTCCCCGGCAGGAGCCGGCTGAGCAGGAAGAAGGCATTGATGCAGACGAGTAAAACATCAGAACACTCCAACAGTTTGCTGGAAAGAAATCAAAAAGACATGAAATGGAAAGGTCCACACTACAACACCGTTTCCTGGGGGAAAACAGGAACGATCCCAGTGATCTGTGTTTGCAGACGGCATTTTGCACCAGGCTCTCTTCACAGGGCATCCACTTCTGGCCAGAAAGCCGTACGTGCAACACTAATTTAAGACTGCTTAAGATCACGTTATAGCCATTTCTATTCCTGTTGTGCTTGTCAAATGCAAATTTCCACGCCATCTGTTGGCACTGCTGGTACCGCTATTTGCGACACGCTCGGTACAGACACCACAACATTTTGGGAGAAACTTTAGTCATTTCTCCGTTCTCGGTGCCTGACCTTGAAGCTTTACCCTCTGTTTTTTTCTGCGCCCATCACCCCATAAAGCCCCTGGTTTCTGAGTTACACCGACAAGGGTTTGGGATTCTATGAACAAAACCTGAAGACCCCAGGTGGGACTTGCAGCCCCCGCCTGCGTTGAAGTCTGTGGCTCCGTTGGCTCTGTGCAAAGGCAGGTATTTCTATGGCAACTGCCAGGACGCCGCGAAGAGGAGAGGATGACATTTTGGCAGCGCAGAGAGGCTGGGTGGGGAGGAAGGAGCCTTCTCCAAAACACCGAGCTCGCCTCCCCAAACACGACAGAGGAAGATGAAGGGAGAAGGAAAGCAGCACGAGACTTGCACTGGGTACGAGAGAGCTGCCCAGCGGTTTTGGAGGATGAGACACGAGCGCTTTTATCTTCAAAAGGAGAGAAAATGGCCCCCAGTGATTAATAATGCTTTTTTTCAGAGGAGATCAATGCAGGCAATCAAGAAATGCTGCATTAAAGCTTTCTGTTTACTTTTGATATAGGAACATTTGAAAAAGGCTGACTGGGGTGCTCGAGAGCTGTCAGAAGGTCCCTCTGCAAACAGGGACTTTCATTACAGAGCTGCTGCTTATCATCCTCATCTTCATTTCACCTGAACAGTTTTGACAGCTACACAAAGCCTTGGTTTTTTAATTTGGCCTTGAGAACATATAAAGCTATCAACACTAATCTTTCAAATCCTAATAACGTTCAATTAATTTCCAGCGTTCTACCCATCCAGAATGAAGTAGCTCGCATGGACAGCCACAGCCTGGCGTTGAGGACCTACGGACACAGGCACAGAGGCAGAACAAACCCGAGCTGCAGACGTGGCTCTCCCCGGTCCCTCTGCACTGCTCAGCCTGGTGGCAGACAACACGGCTGTGTCGTGGGGCACCGATCTGAAGGGTGGAAGGAGAGACTGACTGATGAGGCTATGATATGCGATAGAATTAGTGAACAGCCACAGAGCAACACCCGTTCAAGCTGTTAACAAGAACCAACGTACCCAACGCAGGCAGAATGCCACGGGACATCAGAAAGCGAGCAGCCTGTGCTCAGTCAACAACTGTTTAAAAAAATGTCTAAGAACAAGCAGCAAAATGTTCAATACATGCAGATCAGTGACTTGCTATTAAAAGACTCAGCGCTACTTGCTGAGTGGCAAGTTAAATAAAAACTAAGTTTTCACAGAGGAATAAGCAAGACAAGTGTTTACTTTCATGTTCCATTCAGCTTTTCACGCAACTAATTTTCCAGGCACAGCACAAACAGCCTGTATTTCACGGGTAACACCTGCTTCCCCACCTATTCTCGTATGCACTGCAATTAACCTGGAGGTACTCAGAAGACTCTACCAGAAGACTCTCTTAAAAGACTTAAAAATGAAACTTCTTTTTTTAAGAAAGGTGGGGGGGAGGATGGGTTGCAAGAAGAATATTTTTTATCTGAAAATATCCAACCCTCTTTTAACCTGGGATATTTCGGGGTCTGGATTTTTAAATAAGCCTCATTCCATCTGATAAGGGCTGTAAAAAAAAAAAAAAACAAAAAAAACAAGAGAGAGAGAGAGAAGAGAGAAGATTGGGTTATGCTTCTTTTCCTGTATAACAAGGAACAGGATTCCTCAGAAAATCATCCTGCCACTTCTTCCCTTACAGTCTGCTGACAAATAGCCAATTTTGCAGCTTTCAAGATTTGTTTGATTTATTATAAACACATGGACAAAAAAAAAAAAAAAAAAGACAACGACAGAGACAGCCCCAGCTCCACGCATTTCCATCCACAGATCTACTGCAGGAGCAGGTCTTCTTAAAAATAAAAATGCGTTAACCATGGCAACAACCAAATACTGAAGTCCATTTGCTCACTGTGGCACTTTGGACAGTTTCCATCTACTGTTTATCTATCTCTTCTAATCAGACCTTGTCTACACAGTATTTTTATGCCTTCAGCTATTGCACTAGGATGACAGATGTGGTATGGCTTCCCCAGTTTGATCTGTGGACATTCCTAAATCCAGCAGAGCTCACCTACATGCGAGAACCCCACCAGACCACAAAAAGCCACAGCTGAGGCCCTGCAAACCAGGTATGGTCTAATGGAATGAGAACATGGAGTTTTGTGAAAGGTGAAAATTCCAGAGGTGGAAAAAATAAAAGGGAGATTTCTGCTGCTGGCCCTTTCTCTTCCTGCTTCAAAGTCTGCACAAGCTCCTGACTTAACCTGCAGTCAGTCTAGAAGAGGGAAAAAAAGAAAATAGGCAAAATAGGCCTTTTGAGCAGGGATCGTATTTCTTTTTTTTTATCCTAACAAAGTGCAGAGCCTGGGTCTGACGTGGAATCCACGCACCTGTGTAGCTGTGTGCAAACAGCCCCATCCTGCTGGGCCAAGGACACAGGCAGCAGGCGCTGAGCAAGGAGAAACCTCGGGGCGAGCACAGCCGCCCGCTGCCTGCGTGGGCAAAGAAGCAGCAGCACACAGCCATCCCGAGGCAGAGCCCAGAGCGATGGGACTGCCAGAGAAACATCTCTGCTCTGCATCAGCGCTGCCCTTGCTAAAGGGCTGCTGAAGAGGAATTAGCCTGTGTCAAACACTGATGTCATGAAACCACAGCACACGGGCCGCTGGCATTTTATCCGGGCAGAAAGGCTTTTCCCATACCCTGCCTCACTCCTTCACCTTCACCTGCCTTCACCACCCCCCTGTATGGCACGGTTATTCTACAAAATCCCAGCAGGCAGCCTCCCCACGTTATCAGAAGGGCACGCCACAACCCTCAGCTCCCCTCCTCCAGGCACAAGCTGCACTTTCCTCAAGCACACAGCCCTGCAGAAAGAGCAGAGAGGGAGAAGTCCAGGACCGACTGCTGGTGCAGAAGATGCTCGTGTAAATGACAGCCTGCAGAGGCCCTGTCCAGCAGCCAAGCCGTGTAACTGGCAGGCCGAGGGGCAATCCTCAGCGCCGACCCCGCAGCGGCAGCCGAAGCGCAGTCTGCTGGTTTGTCTCTCTCCGCTCAGGAGGAGCCGCAGACGGACGACGGTAATGAGATGTCAGCGTTATCTACAACGCTAAATAAATGCCGTACCTCTCTCCTGGTTTAATAGCCGTTGCCAGGGCAACAGGTAGTATTCCTCGCCGCCACACCCGGCACAGGATTAGAGGTGTGGAAGTGGTCTGGATGGATGGATGGATGGCCAAACCGTGCCGTCAGCCTTCCCCAAACCTACCAGCCAGAGGTCTCATTCAGGGCTGCATTTCCAGCAGGGACATTCTGCTTTCTTGTGCCCCTAAGGCACGCATCGAGATGCTCATAAGACCAGAAACCAAACGCCACACATCACGCCCCCCAAAATCCCAGCTGGCCGACCTGTGGGGGCACAGCCCAGGCAGGAGATGCTCCCGGTGACCCGGGGCTGCAGCACGGGGCAGGGCGAGCCCGGGTCACCCCTCAGCGGGTACCACAAGGCTCGGATGCTCAGGGCAGCCCTGCAGGCCCCCCGGTACCCCCACAGCCACGCACTACGTGGCAGCGCCGTGGGGCTCCCAGCTCCGTGCTGGGATGCGCTGCTGGCTCCCAGCCTTAACGCCAGACCCAGAACCACACCGAGCCCGGCACCGACAGCACCGGAGGCAGCTGGGCACAGCTCCCAGCACACCAGCAGCGGGTTCAGGATGCCTGGGGAGGGACCAGACCCACACCACCACCGCTCCACACCACACGAGCCCACACGTGTGCACGGTCCCCATCCCCTCACCGTCCCCACAGGGCCCTCAGCTCGCCCCAGCTCCACGGCAGGGCCCGTCCCAGCCCGGCCCCCGGGGGTCCCCTCCCCGCTGTGGGACTGGCACCCCCGGGGCTTTCTGCGCCCCGTCGGTCGTGCCCCCAGCACCCACCTCCTTCTTGACGGTGCGCAGCAGCCGCTGCCGGGTCTCGGCTTCTGTGGGGAGAAGGGGGAGAGCCCCGTTAATGCCTGCAGCCCCGTTAATGCCCGCGGCCCCGTTAGCACGACCCGCTGCCCCCCCGGCCCGCTGCCCGCCCCTACCCGCCGGGGCCGCCGCCATGGCCGCGCTCCTCCGCCCCGCTCCGCCCGGCCCCGCAGCGCCCGCAGCCTGGCGGCGGGGCCGGCCCGGGCCGCACCGCACCGCCCAGCCGCGCCCGCCGGGGTGGGGCCGCCGCCACCGCCGCCAATCCGTGAACGGAGCCGGGCACCGGGCACCGAGCACCGGGCACCGGCCACCGGGCGCTCGGTGGGGCCGCGAGCGGGCCCGGGTCCTCAGTGGGGCGGCCCCCGGCCCCTCAGGCGCGGCGCCGCCGGGCTCTGTCACTTCAGCGGGGGCATAACCGGGCTCAAATCCGCTGTGGGGTGACCCCAAACCATCCCCAGCCCTTCAGTGGGGACACAACCAGGCTCAAACCCTCACGTGGGGGCATAACTGGGTTCATCACTTCAGTGGGGTGACCCCAAACGTCCCCAGCCCCTCAGTGGGGACACAACCGGGCTCATCCCCTCAGTGAGGTCACCCCAAAGCATCTCCAGACCCTCAGCAGGAACCACAGCCGGGACCATCCCCTCAAATGGGGACACAACTGGGCTCATCCCCTCAGTGGGGTGACCCCAAACTGTTCCCAGCCCCTCAGTATGGCCACAACCACGCTCATCCCTCATGTGGGGCCACAACCGGGTTCATCCCCTCAGTGGGGTGACCCCAAACCATCCCCAGCCCCTCAGTGGGAACCACAACTGGGACCATCCCCTCACATGGGGCCACAACCAGGCACATCCCCTCAGGGGGCTGACCCCAGCCAGGCCCTGTTCCTGCAGCTACCAGGGTTTCACCATCACCGGGCACCCCCCGGCAGGGAACCCCCCAAGCCAGGCACCGGCAGCACCCCCAGGCCCCAAGGCCGATGTGCCCCGAGCACCCCGGGCTGGCAGCCCACAGGACTGGGTGACACGGGGACAGGCAGCCCCCCGGGTCGTGTCCCGTGCTTCCCAGCCATGCGGGTCCGCTGGAAGGTGCCCACGGTACCAAGTGACAAAGTCTTCTCCCGGTGCATCCCTGCAGAGCTGTGCCAACCCCGCACGCTCCTCCTGGCTTTTCTGCACCAGGAAGGTGATAATGAGCCGAAAAGCCCTAGTCACAGGAGACCCGGAGATGCCTGGTATCAAAATCACAAACACTTCAGAGCAAGCCCTGCCTCGCAGCTCTCATTAACATATTTTTCTGTTTTTCTGTTCCCTCATTTGATGTTCCAGGACATTTCCATAGAAACGGGCTCCTGGTTCCTTAGCAGTCCAGTTTCCAATAACTACAAACCACATTAGCGCCGGGGCAGCTGCGCCCGGCCCCGCTGCACGCAGGCACGCGGCCACCACCAGCGACACGGCCCCAGCTGGCAAGGGGCTGAATTTGGGTGCTGTACCCCCAGATGCCCACTGGCCCCACAGGACACCCCCATCCCAGGGGCTCCAGCCCCTTTTGCATCAGGGCACGGTCCTGCGGGGACAACAAGGCAGCTCTGGGTGTGGGGTAACTCCGAATTCATCCCCTCCTGCAGTTTGTGCAGGCACCGGGAGGATGCCTGTGCGATGCTGCCTGCGGAGGAAACCCATTTCCTTGTCTGTTGTTTGCTTCCACTGTTTGTTTGCTTGCCGAATGTCCTGTTAATAAAGGTGGTGACGGTGCAGATGTGAGCGAGCTGCAGCAGCAGGGCTGCCTGCTGAGGGCTGCCTGCGGATCCAGGGGGATCCCAGGAAGAAGGGGCTGGGATGGGGACTCCCGTTAGTGACCCCTGGTTTTTACCAGCACCTCGGGGTGCTGCTCTCGACCTGGGAGCTCCTGCAAGTGGTGCAGGACCCAGCCCTCCACACCAGGGCTGTCAGGCCTGCTTTGCCCATCCAGCCCCAGCTCTGCTCCCCACCACCGCTCGCTGCAGACCCCCAGGGCCCCCCAGCCCTGGATGCTCGGTGTCACCAGATGGCACCATTGCATCTGCTTTACCTCCAGCACTGGGGCTGTGCGAGCGGGGTGGGAGCAGGTGGGCTCCTCTTCTTCTGGAAAGGCTGCACCATGAGGGCTTGGGGTTAGAGGAGGCAGCAGCCCGGGGCTTTTTGGGTCTCAGCTGAGACCAGGTGAGTTCTGCATGGGGACAGAAGGGGGTGTCACAGCACTGACTTTGTGCTGATTGTGCCAAGCGTGCACGGTGAAATAAATGTTCTCTGCATTAAGGCGGCTTCTGCTGTTCATGCTGCACCTTCTCCATCCGGCCGGGACGGAGCAGGCTCTCTGCAGCACAGCACAGCCGCAGGAGCTGCGATGGTTTGGCCCCAGGCTGGTTTTGGGCTCCTGTAGCTGGCCCCATGTGGCTCCGTGATGTCCAGGAAGGAGCACGGGTCGTGTTCAGCACAAGCCCGCGCAGCTCGTGCCTCACTTTGCTGCTCTGCCACCCTGCCTGTCATTTATTTATGACCACAGGTCCTACAGTGCTGAACAGGCAATTAAGGCAGGCTAATAAACAATCATTATGAAGGCATTACAGCCTCATAAAACACTAGGTGGGAGTGCCATCAGATATCAACAGTGAATGAAATCATCAGGGCAGAGACAGCCTAACTGCGCCTGTGGCCCTGAGCTGGAGCCGGGGCAGAGCAGAGCCACGGCTCTGCACAAACACCCAGTGCCCAAATGGAAAATGTGCCAGGTCCCGAGGAGCCAGGGCACAGCACGGCCGTGTCACGCTGAGTGCTGATTCCTGCAGAGCTTCTCAAGCCCATGAGCTTGATTTGACCATTGCAGCCTGTGCAGTGTGAGAGCGCGCTGGCAGGGAGAAGCCCAGAGGAGCAAGAAGATCATCTCGGCTCCTGCTAATGAACCGTGCTGGTTCCTGCAATCTTCAGTCCTGTCAATCTCTCTGCAGCGCTCCAGGAGAACTACCCCTGGGTGTGCTGCGTCCCTCACACGCAGAAGCAGCCCAGGAAGGACCCATCTCCTCCCACGGTGCGCTGTGGACAAATTTGTGCCACCGGAGAAATGCCGTCTTTGGGGGAAGGCGCAGAGCAGCTCACAGGGATGGATGCTGGCACATCTGGTGGCACTGCCATGGGATGTCCTGCTCCCAGAAAGTTCTTATCCCATGATAAAGAGGGGAATAACTTACCTTACTTTGGGTCCTGGAGGAGGTGAAAGACAAAAGTCACATCTGCACACACCGTGCACAGCCACACACGTTATACAAGTGGCTGCTCCCCTCTGCACCTCAGCTCAACACAAACTCTGTTCTTTTTGCCTGGCTCCTTCCTTCCCCAGAACAACGGTGCCATGCAGTGGGGTGGCAGCTATTATTGTTTTATTACCTCCTTTGGGGAGAAATCCACCGAAACAAGCACACAGACCAGATCTCTGTACGTCTCGCTGGTTTCTTTTCCCTGGAAAATGCTGCTCTCACTGGATTAAAGAGGGGTGGGATGCAAGTGGCCCCTGTTTTCTGAAGTCTGGAGAGCTTAACTGAGAGCACATTGATGTATACTTAATGTGATTAAGTTACATCTCTGAGTATCATGCTAATTAAATTAAACTTCCCACTGCTGCCTCTGCGGCTCAACCAGGAGAGCTGTTTTAAGACCACAGTTCACGTCTCCGCATTTCATTGCACGGATGAGCAGGTAGGATAAAAGCAACCTGCTAATCAGATAATCACACTGTTTAGAAACATCATCTGACTCGATGGAAATTCAAAGTTAAAGCTGATTTGAACTAAATTTACACTGAACATTTTAAATCTATAGCGATTGGTGCTTTGTGTAAAGAAAACAATGGAAAACGTGGCAGTAAGGGTGCCGGGGAGTGCGCAGGGTGCGTCTGAGCGTGATGCTGCAGAGTTCAGGCACCGTGAGGCTGGCCCAGGAGACCTGAGCAGCACAAAGCAAATTTTGGGGTCCCCCCAGCTGCCCCCTGCTCTCCATGGACCAAAGTTTGGCTCCAGCAGGGCAGGAAAGGAGCCAGCTGTGCGTTGTTCCAGCCGCCACGTGCTCTCCGTAGCCTCCTTCGTTGAAATGCCTCTAATTCTGTGTCAGATGATGGCCAGAGATGTTTGGCTACGATGGGCAAAATGACAGCACTTCAGGCAGAAGCCCCCATCTGGTGTGGGACACCAGGGACCAGAAAATTGTGACCAGAGTAAAGAAAGCTCTGGGGAGAGCCCGTCTGCGGGTCGCACAGCGGGGACACCCGGCGGTGCCTGGGCCATGGACCCCCCCCCCAAAAAAAAAAAAAACACCTCTCTCTCTGCCCTGCTCCTGTCTCTGGCCGTGGATTTTCCATCTTGGGGCTTCTGAAGGCAATCGAGCCCTCAAAGCTCGCTCCTCATTGACTTGACAGCAGCAGCCCGGCCCCAACGCCAGAGGGGAGGCAGCCGCATCGGTGGGTTGTGGCCGCACGGGTGGGCGATGGGGTGTCCCCGGGGGCAGGTGGGGACCAGGGGAGCAGGGAAGGGGGTGCTCAGCACATTCATAGCTCATTGGGCTGGGAGCAGGGGGGATCTGGCAGGGATGGGGGCTGCCAGAGCTGAGCATCAGCATCGCACCGACAGCACAGATGTGTTGGGAAACCAAACCCGATTTGTGCTGCAGTGAGCTGGAGCCTTGTGTTGAAACTACCTGGAGAAAAGAAGGGTCAGCTGCAGAAAAAAATACCTTTTTTTTTTTTTAATTATTAATTTTTTAATTATTCAGTTGCTATGGCAGCAGCTGTCTCTCTGCTGTCACTTATGCCCCGAAGATTGTCCTCAACCCAGTGGGATTAAACCGTGCTTCCCCAGCCCCCTGCTCCGACAGCAAAGGGGATTTCTCACCTTCATCCCCAGGGAAGGCACAAAAGCTGCTCTGCCAGCCACCTGCAGTACCCTGCCAGTAATGCACAGTCCCGGCTTTAATTTCTGATGGATTTAATTTCCACACCCGCATTATAAGGACTGCTGTTAAAATTCGCAGCTTTGCCAAAGCCGAGGAGTGACACAAATCCTGGATAAACCCCCAGGGGATTAACTGACCCTCACCTGCGTGCTGAGCCTCAGACGCAGGAGCCTCCAGAAGGGCTTTGC